AACTGAAATAACAGATTATCTATATCTAACCAGAACTGAAATATCAGATTACCTAACCAGAACTGAAATATCAGATTATCTATATATTATCACAATTTTAGATTTATTTAGCAGTAGAGCATCCTATCCTATAACTGATTAAAACAAATTTAGAAGTTTATAACCGTGTCGTTATTTTCCCACCTCTTTTAGCACCTACAATGATTCTTTATTACAAATCATTTAGCGACTAAAGATTTAATGTTTGAATTGTTTGAATTTAAAACCAATACTCCATCCAATGACTTCATATAAAAGTGTACAGTGCGTAGTGTACATGCTATTCGGATAAATTCCTAATGCCATATCTTCCACTTTTGCATAAATAAATAAATAATAGAATTAAGCTACGCAGCTTAATATCTTTAACTTATTTATTGAGTTCAACTCCTTGGCTTTAAAGATATCAATTTTGAAGAGCCGATGCGAGTTTTCTGGTCATGGAGATAAAAACACGTGCAGCTGTACATTGAATTTCCGAGCCGGGTCAACTTTTGTGGTCCTAGTTTGTACTGTATCGCCTGGAAATTGGGTTTATAAAGCAGACACTCAATAGGACTAGCAGGTGCAACAAGGTTGACGCGGTCAGACTTTAGGTTGAATTTACTTTTACTAAAGGATCAGAGGTGCGTGAAAAGAATCTCTCCGAAAAAACGAAGATTGGGAAAATGACTTTAACTTTTGTTAACTTTAATTCGCTAAACTTTCATTCTACTTTCTCTAACAATAGCAAGGTGTTCATGGAGTTCATGTTTTTATTGGTTATATTTCAATTTTTTCAAAAGTCTAGATATTTTAACTACACCATTTATATATGTATTTATATCTTTGTGTGTGAATAAATTTGCATAATATAATAATTTGAATGCAAAAGTTACCATCCTCGGGGTCATGTCATATCCCACACAAAAATGGGATCTTTTTCGGTAAGTCAACAAATGAATATTTTGCTTGTTTGTCTGTCTATCTGTTTCTCAATCAACAGATTCAAACGTGGCGAATTCTGTAGCCCATATTTTTTGTGGCAACTCAGATGACCCCCTTGTTTATGAAGGATGACAAATGGCGTATTTAAAAAACGAAAATATTACAATGAAATGAACGTGAAGCACCATACAGGGCTAGAATTAAAATAAATTTTTTGAAAACTGAACAATATATTTCAAACTTAAAAGGATTTGTGTGTCGAACTAATGTTTAAAAGGGAAAATATTTTAGGAATATATGCACTTAAATATCTATGCATTGCATATGGCACACTGCAATATATACTGGGGCTGGAGAATAAATGGGTTGCTTTAAATCCCCGCAAATTGTTTTAAGTTATTCAACTTTATGTAAATATATAAGTATGATATATACTAAACAGATAGAAGCGGGTTAAGACAAAATATTTTTTTCATTTCTTTAAAAATCTTCAGAAACTAATTAATGTCTGAAAAGAAACACGACACTTTTGAAATTTGTTGATTAAAACATTTCGCAAGAATTCTCTACATTTAAGAGAAATAATTTTTAGATCATATTCTTTCATTTTACCAACATCAAAACATTCTAAGTTTATTATTATTTTATATTTGTTCATTGAAAAAATTTAGGAAAAGGTTTTGATCAAATATAAGTATAAACAGAGTGGATGACACCAAAAGCGTATGCTAGGGCTAATTGCTTACAGTACAGAATCTAAAATAATGTGAGATCGGCAACACAAATTTAAATCCTTTAAAAGTTCAAAACTTAATGAACCATTCCAATTGTATTTACTTTCTATGAATGTTTAGTTCATAAAGTAGCTGTTTCTTTGAATGTTTAGTTCATAAAGAAAATGTTTAGTTCGTAAAGTGGATTATTTTTACAATGTTTAGTTCATAAAGTAGATGTTCCTTTTAATGATTAGTTCATAAAGTTGATGTTTCTTTGAATGTTTAATTCATTAAGTAGATGTTTCTTTGAATGTTTAGTTCATAAAGAAGATGTTTCCTAAATATTTAGTTCATAAAGTAGATGTTTCTTTTAATGTTTAGTTCATAAAGTATTCTTTAAATGTTCAATTCATTAAGAAGATGTTTCCTGAATATTTAGTTCATAAAGAAGATGTTTTTTTTTTAATGTTTAGATCATAACGTAGATGTTTCTTTTAATGTTTAGATCATAAAGTAGATGTTCCTATCAATTTTCAGTAAATAAAGTAGATGTTCCTTTGAATATTTAGTTAATAAAGTAGATGTCTCTTTGAATGTTTAGTGCATAAAGTAGATGTTCCTTTGAATGTTTAGTTAATAAAGTAGATGTTTCTTTGAATGTTTAGTTCATAAAGAAGATGTTCCTTTGAATGTTTAGTGCATAAAGTAGATGTTCCTTTTAATGATTAGTGCATAAAGAATATGTTTCTTTGAATGTTTAGTGCATAAAGTAGATGTTCCTATAAAGTAGATGTTTCTTTGAATGTTTAGTTCATAAAGAAGATGTTCCTTTGAATGTTTAGTGCATAAAGTAGATGTTCCTTTTAATGATTAGTGCATAAAGAATATGTTTCTTTGAATGTTTAGTTCATAAAGAAGATGTTCCTTTGAATGTTTAGTGCATAAAGTAGATGTTCCTTTTAATGATTAGTGCATAAAGTAGATGTTTCTTTGAATGTTTAGTTCATAAAGAAGATGTTCCTTTGAATGATTAGGGCATAAAGTAGATGTTCCTTTTAATGATTAGTTCATAAAGTAGATGTCTCTTTGAATGTTTAGTTAATAAAGTAGATGTTCCTTTTAATGATTAGTTCATAAAGTAGATGTTTCTTTGAATGTTTAATTCATTAAGTAGATGTTTCTTTGAATGTTTAGTTCATAAAGAAGATGTTTCCTAAATATTTAGTTCATAAAGTAGATGTTTCTTTTAATGCTTAGTTCATAAAGTATTCTTTAAATGTTCAATTCATTAAGAAGATGTTTCCTGAATATTTAGTTCATAAAGAAGATGTTTTTTTTTTAATGTTTAGATCATAACGTAGATGTTTCTTTTAATGTTTAGATCATAAAGTAGATGTTCCTATTAATTTTCAGTAAATAAAGTAGATGTTCCTTTGAATATTTAGTTAATAAAGTAGATGTCTCTTTGAATGTTTAGTTCATAAAGTAGATGTTCCTTTGAATGTTTAGTTAATAAAGTAGATGTTCCTTTTAATGATTAGTTCATAAAGTAGATGTTCCTTTGAATGTTTAGTTAATAAAGTAGATGTTTCTTTGAATGTTCAATTCATAAAGTAGTTTTTTTTTAAATTTTTAGTTCATTAAGTAGATGTTTCTTTAAATATTTAATTCATAAAGAAGATGTTTCCTGAATATTTAGTTCATAAAGTAGATGTTTCTTTGAATGTTTAATTCATAAAGTAGTTTTTTTTTTTTTAATTTTTAGTTCATTAAGTAGATGTTTCTTTAAATGTTTAATTCATAAAGAAGATGTTTCCTGAATATTTAGTTCATAAAGTAGATGTTTCTTTGAATGTTAAATTCATAAAGTAGATGTTTTTTTTTAAATTTTTAGTTCATTAAGTAGATGTTTCTTTAAATGTTTAATTCATAAAGTAGATGTTTCCTGAATATTTAGTTCATAAAGAAGATGTTCCTTTGAATGTTTAGTTCATAAAGTAGATGTTCCTATTAATGTTTAGTAAATAAAGTAGATGTCTCTTTTAATGTTTAGTTCATAAAGTAGATGTTTCTTTACATGTTTAGTTAATAAAGTAGATGTCTATTTGAATGTTTAGTTCATAAAGTAGATGTTCCTTTGAATCTCTTTGAATGTTTAGTTCATAAAGTAGATTTGCCTTTGAATGTTTAGTTCATACAGTAGATGTCCCTTTGAATGTTTATTTCATTAAGTACATGTTCCTATTAATGTTTAGTAAATAAAGTAGATGTTCCTTTTAATGTTTAGTAAATAAAGTAGATGTTCCTTTAAACGTTTAGTTTATTAAGCAGATGTTCCTATTAATGTTTAGTTCATAAAGTAGATGTCCCTTTGAATGTTTAGTTCATAAAGTAGATGTCTCTTTGAATATTCAGCTCAAAAAGAATATGTTTCATTTTACATTCATGTAAATTTGTTCCTCTCTTTGTTAAATAATCATTAGAAGACACAAGTAAAGATACTAAAATTCATCCTGTAAATCGTGAAATCCAAAAGTTTCAGGTCATTGAAGTCTCATTCTTCTAGAATAACCCTGTACACTTCCTAACATCTTGAAACAACATAGTTTCCGGACAAATCCTTATCAAGTTCATAAAACGTGGTTTATTAACACAATAACAATATTTCTAGAGATATATTCTGCAGAATAAGAGGAGTTTATTTTAAACGGTTCCTAAAATCATAAAAAAAATGTAACTTAGCCGTAAATGGAACGGCCAATGTACGATATTGAGTATGTTAATGTTTAACATATCAAAAATGGGGTTACCCATGAAGCATGACTGCACATACCAACTGAAATAAACTACCCGTAGGTCGTCATTATAAGTCTTAATTGCGGTAGTCCTGTAGTTAAAAAGGGAGAACAGTTAGTCAACATTCAACAGCGTATTATAATCTAATGTGAACCCGCAAGCAAAATCTTTTTTTGAATCTATTGATTAAAAATCAAGGGGAAGTGCGCTGATCTCTCTGCCAAATTTTCGTGAAATGATATTATGAATTATTTTCCTTACGTTGCCGGATTTCTAAAACTAAAAAACGACACTCAAAAGTTTCAATGAACAATTCCAAAAACAACGAAACCATAAAATTTAAATGAGGAAAATCATTCAAGTTAACTAAAAAATAAAGAAAAGATTCGGATTTAAAATCTAAAATACAGAAATGGAAATATTTGGATAAATATCTTAACTTTCCTAAAACTTTCCTAAACCTGTCACGACCATATTTCCATAATGTTATAAACTGCAAATCATATTTCGATAAGAAGTAAATAATTCATAACAAGCTTTATTTTAATTCCACAATACGTAAAGTTTACATAAAAACGTTAAACATAAGTTCTAAAATGAATAAAATTATCATCTATAAATTAAAAACATTTATCTACTATCAGCCGACTACGATACTTGTGAGCTTGCTAAGCTGAACATTAATATTATTTAATCACGAATATTTCAGACAAAACTTTCAAAATTGAAAATTGTCGATTAGAGAAATTGCGAAAACAAATACGAGTTATGGCAGAACAGATCTTATATTTAAGGTGTAAGTAGGGACCCCCCTTATTTTAAGGAGGATTGAAGGGGGGATATTCACGCTTCCGGAGAACCATCCTTGCCATGAGGATCAGGCAGCTTCTCTCGGTTAGGTTCAACTCCCCAGATCTCACGAGCATACTCGGATATTGTTCTACAAAACATACAAAACAGTTAAAACAGTTAAAACAATTAAAACAGTTAAAACAGTTAAAACAGTTAAAACAGTTAAAAAATTTAGTACAACAACTAGCTGTAGTGTCCGGTATTGCCCATGTTTATATTAATATTAATAATCATAGTTACTTCCACCGTTTACCCGCGCTTGGTAATAAATCATGATTTTAACTGAAGTCGCCAAGTTTTGTCAATTTGTTTAATAGCCTATGCCACTTCTGGAGTACCCATGCTTTCCCTCAAAATTTTAGCAATTAGGTTTGGCCGTTTGGCCAGCTATAAAAAACATTTATATATATATATAAAGGGTGAGTCAAAAAAGTGATATACGGCGCCTAGTGCAAAAATCTACCTTTTTTTGTGCAACTCTCCTGTATGGTGAATTTTTTGAAAATTTGTAATTTTTTTGGTACTTCCCAAAAAAAATCCGCGAACCTTTTTTTCTTTCAAAATCAAAAGTTCAGAAAAACAAAAATGTGGAAATAAATTGTTTCTATCGAAGTCTAAAATTTTAATAAGATTGAATCACAGAATCTCAGAAAATTAGCAAAAATGTAATTAGAAAACTCGCAATTTTCAGTTCTGGTATAAATTTTACGGATAAATTGTTTTTCAATAGTTCTTAAGGTTTCAACAGAACAGCGTATCTTTAATACTTTAAAATATACAAGAGAATTTAAATTACTTTTCCTTAAAAATTAGACCAGAACTAAAAATTGCGAATTTTCTCAATATAATTTTGCAAATCCTCTGTGATTCTTTGATTCAATCTTTAACAATTTTTGGATTTCGATAGACCGAATTTATATGCACATTTTTGCTTTTCTGAACTTTTGATTTTGAGAAAGAAAAAGGTTCGCGGATTTTCTTTTGGCCATTTGGAGTACCAAAAAAATTCACAAATTTTCAAAATTTAAAAAAAAAACGCCATACAGGAGAGTTGCACAAAAAAGTACAATTTTGCACCAGGCGCCGGAATTCACACTTTTTTTGACTCACCCTGTATATATGTAAATATCAAAAATAAATATCGAATAGAAATAAAGAAGCTCCGATAAACACGCAATTTAATTACGATTCATCTTTTTTTTATCTTGTCAACGTTCCCTTCTGAAATTACATTGCCCTGAGACTTTTTAATGCGAAGAGCAGACTGAGTCCGGGAAGAAATAAATTTTCTCAAAATCAATTTAAATTCAATTTAGTTTTTCATGGTAAACGAAATTGTGAATCAATGCTTAGACTTTCTTACAATAATTTAATTCAAAATTTAACTTTTAGATTTTAGAATCATTTTCAGCAAGGGACTTAAAAATCCCTTAAAAATTCCTTAAATTTCCCCGATTTTTGAATTTATACTTATCAATCTGAATGCGTTAAAGCCTTCCGGAGCTTTTCAGACTGAAACCATTAAATTTTTTTTGGGAAATTATTGGTAAAACTTTTCTGAACCTGAAATTAAGAATAAATCTATCTCCAAGATGCGACACAAAGCTAGGGATTACATACTGAACAATTTTTACAGGACGATTATTCTTGATCAATCCCATAGTGAATATTCGCTCCATTGTCTTTTTTTTCAGCATGTCACACCTAGCTTTGTAACTGTGTAGCATAAAAGGGGATATAGATTTATTTGAAAATCGGCCAAGAAAGGTTCGGCTTTAAATTTCCAAAAGTTTTAAATTCTTAACAGCAGACGGGAAAGTTCTGTTAGGCCTTTACGGATCCAAATTGATCTGAAACAAAAGGAAACCCTACCTCCCGTCAAATCACCTCGTGGAAAAATATAAAAAGAAAGTTAAATAATCTTCTAACCTGTCTGAGCTAAACTTCCCGCTGCTGGCAATATTATGAATTGCCATCTTAGCCCACCTCTTGGTATCCATATACGCGGCGGATACTTGATCCTGGGCGGAGATATACGCCTCATAATCCGCCAGGGTCAAAAACCTAAACAATTGAATTAATTAATAATATAGGAAAAATTATAATTGGGATTTAATTACAGACAGTAATATAATAGAGAAATAGTTTTGTTTTGGTTAATAATATAACCAACATAATAAAAACTTTTCTTTACATTTGTTTTTAGTTTTGTGAGAATAACTGAACTATGTTATATATATATATATTCTACACCTTAGAATAATTTTCTTTTTGCTCGTTTTCTAGAAAACTGTTCTATCTAGAATAAGCTAATTGGTGGCTAATGGAGCATATAAGTACTACACTAACTCCAAGATCTAGCAAAAGAAAAAAGGAAAAATTCTTTATGGAATGCATCTAATGTCTCAATGTTTAAGACCTATTTAATATATCAATGTTTAAAATCTATTTAATATCTAAATGTTTAAGATCTATTTAATATCTCAATGTTTAAACCCTATCTAATATCTCAATGTTAAGATCTATTTAATATCTTAATGTTTAAACCCTATATAATATCTAAATACTTAAAACCTATATAATATCTCAATATTTAAAACCTATCATCTCATTGATTAAAACCTATCTAATATCTCCGTGTTAAGAATGTATTTAATATCTCAATCTTTGAAACCTATCTAAAATCTCAATGTTTAAAACCTATCTAATATCTCAATGTTCAAGAGTCAAGACCTATTTAATATCTCAATGTTTAAAACCTATTCAATATCTTAATGTTAAAAACCTATTCAATAACTCAATGTTTAAACCTATCTTAGATCTCAATGTTCAAGACCTATTCAATATCTCAATGTTAAAACCCTATCTAATATCTCAATGTTTAAAACCTATCTAATATCTCCGTGTTAAAAATTTATTTAACATTTCAGTGTTTAAACCCTATCTAAAATCTCATTGTTTAAAACCTATCTAATATCTCAATATTTAAACATATCTAATATATATCTCAATGTTTAAATATATCTAATACATATCTCAATGTTTAAACATATCTAATAAATATCTCAATATTTAAACATATCTAATATATCTCAATGTTTGAATATATCAATATATATCAGTTTTGTAATATTCATAAAATTCAATGTTCAATTTATGATAAATTATTATTATGATCATAATTTTAATAAAAATAATAATCATAATTAATAATAATAATGAAAAAGGTGAACCTGTCATGGTAAAGAAGATTATCTGTAACATCCTTGAATGTATCCGGGTTTCCATGAGAGAAGAAACCAGCTTTAATCATATCCATCACCTAAATACAACATATATTTAAACTTCAAAACCAAAATACAGAAATCATCAAGTTAATCTGTGAAAATTATTTTTTTGAAATTCAAACTTCTCACAAATTCTTTTCTTCAATTTTTTAATGTTTTAATAGAAAGTTTGGAATAAAAACAAACAACGAATAGATGATTAAAGTTGAATTAAATATTGCACATTCCGAAGAAAAATGCATCCTCATCATAGATAAAGATAGATTGCGCATAAGACGACATTTTTCATCTTGAAAGATATAAATGTACAGAGATGTTATGAAGATATTCCTGTTGTATAGATTAACTAGATCGGTTGTGAACATTGGCTGTTCTTATGCCATTGAGTACTTGTGGTGTACATGTGTTCTGTAGAGAAAAATTTAAGTTAGTATAGGTCCTTCTCATGTCCTTCTTCAGTTCTCGTCAATATGATATTTTGCTCAGTGAAATATTTTTGTTCAAATAGTTCCTTTCCCGGAGTTATTTTACACTCTATTATGAAATCCATTAAAACACCAAACCACCCCGCTTATCATTGAAGTACACTGACCCCTAGAAGTATGAGTTCGCGGACTGTACAATTCTTGGTGATTTTGCGTACATAAGCTATCTATGTTTATTTATTTATCTAGGATCCTCATTCCTCTAGAAAAATCCCCAATATTTCAGTCTTTTTTCAAAAGATGAGTTATGCAAAAGCTAAGTACGTACTACAATATTATTTCTTTGTAAAAACCAAGGTTATAATACAAGGAAAGTTAATTGGAGTTGCGTTTACTCTGTGTACAAATTGAAACCAGTTCTCTCTGGGCATTTAATTTTGATAATTCACATAATAGTTTCCTATGACCAAATATTTCATTGATTTTTATTGTGAACGATGGATCCCATGTCAGGCTTCGACATCCGTCTCGTATTTACATTACCGCCCAGAGACAGTATACTGCAGTACAAAAGATGCGTACACCTATGAAATAACTTTCCTTGCACTATAACCTTTGTAAAAACAGCGCCATAGAAAAATCAACTTAACATTATTAATGTGCTACAAACCTTTAAATGGTATAAATAGATCGATAATGTTACATAGATTTGAAAAATAATCAAACTTTTCAAAATCTAACAATTAAAAAAAAATATTCTTATGACACCCCGACCAAAGGATGTATCCTTTTAATTGGCAACTTGCTATACAAAGCAAAATATTAGTAATCATTGTAATATTATTAAACAAAAGTTTATTTTTGCAGAAAGCAAAACAATTGTTCTTATATTTATTGTGGCAACCCTAAAACCAGGAATACAGTTAAACATCACACCCGTCAGCACCTTCCTAGCTAAATGATACAATGTAATATGTAGGTAAAGCCTGGTAATCCATCTTGGTTCATTGATGTTTGGTGCTCGGTAAAAGTGATGAAAAAATAGCAAAGCTAATTTTTTTTCTTCAAATACTTAAAACGTAAAATCGGCATAAAAATTGGATAAAAAATACCTGTTTTAGTTCTGGAATTGAGTTGTAGTACTTCATGGCGTCATAATTTGCGGCTTCCTAGAAATAAGATTCGACTTATTATAAAAAACACAAAAGATGAATTTGTGTGTTTCCTATGTCCAGATTTAATGAATTTAAGCCGCGTCTCAAATCCCCGAAATAACCAGTTTCAATTGAACGTCGGCTTAAATTTTGAAATATTGATTACAATTTTAAGTGGAACCAACCATATTTGAGCCGTGGCTTAAATTTAAGACGCGGCTCATAGTCTTTAAATTCGGCCTCTAATTTTAATAAAGAAATTGCATATAATTTGTACCTTTAAATAAGACAACTCAAGTTAGCACAATTGACAGAAGAACTTCAAAGAGGGTAAAAAAATTTTACCTTCTCAACTTCATCAACGTTCATTCCGAAAATGAAGATGTTATCCATCCCCATCTCCTCAGCCATCTATAACAAATCATAAATATTCATCATTATAAATACAAGTTTAATTTTTTTAAAATCTTTTGTAGTTCTTACAAAAAGATATGTATTTTTCCCGGAATATATTTCATCTTAAAAGATTTTAAAATTACTTTCTTCAAAAATTAAATTCCAGCGATAAAAAGTCTCAAGATTATTAATCTCGAGAGAAAAGTTACTTTTATACATATCCGCGGACAATACTATTTTTCACTGAAAACAAGAATATTTGTTTTCAATCTCTTTTAATCAAATAACGTGAAACAAAGATAAAAATTATTTAAAACAATAAATCCTTTAAAGCTAAAAGATAGAAAGATAAACAGTAAAATTATGTTAAGTAAATAATAAATGTTAATATTTAAAATAATGATCAGATTTTTTAAAACTAAAAGATTTTAAACATTTTTCCTAACGTTAGAAGAATTTTGGTTTCCTGTCTATCCGCATAATATTTTCTTTATTTCGAATATTCGCATTAATTTAGATTATAAAAATGTTTAAATCAGTAATGGAGCGAAACGGATTTGGTTGGAGAATGCAGGTTTTAAAGCTTCACCCTTGAGTTAAGTCACGATTTTTATGTGAATAAAAACATCAATTTGTAGAATCTTCATTTGTTATCTATTATTGACCCGAAGGCCCGGACTTAGTTCATGTTTGCAGCATTATTGGAAATATTTCCATAACTTCTCACAAACTCCGATACGCAGTGAAAGTATCAATGGTTTTTTATAAGTATGCTTAGAAATAATAATGCACTTTTGACGGGGTAGAGAGAAGAATATTTACCTCAACATTGGCTCCATCTAGTGTTCCAACAGTCAGAGCTCCATTCAGCATAAACTTCATGTTTCCAGTCCCACTAGCTTCAGTTCCAGCTGTACTAATCTAAACATAGCTTCAGTTCCAGCTGTACTAATCTAAACATAGCTTCAGTTCTAGCTGTACTAATCTAAACATAGCTTCAGTTCCAGCTGTACTAATCTAAACTATAGCTTCAGTTCCAGTTGTACTAATCTAAACATAGCTTCAGTTCCAGCTGTACTAATATAAACATAGCTTTAGTTCCGGCTGTACTAATCTAAACGTTAGCTTCAGTTCCAGTTGTACTAATCTAAACCATAGTTTTGGATAGAGATTGCCATCGTTTTTAAGAACGAACGAAATCGTTCGTCAATGATGGTGTCGTTCAGGGAAAAAAACGAACAATGGACGAACGACTTGGGTTGTTCACAGAAATGAAAAAACAAACGAAATCTATTTTATTAACGATTGAAAAAAAACTGAATAAAAGGTGCCTTCAATAACTATGAACAAACGAAATGAAAAAACCGAACCATCACAAGCTTAGTACTTAGTATACTTTTCTAAAAAATACGTACTACTACGTACTAGGTGTACAAAATTAAACAATTACCCCCTAAATATAGTTCATAAAAAATTATGCATACATGGCAAAAAACAATTAAAAACACATAAAAAGGCTCAATAAACTGAAATCCCTTACAAGCGGATGTCAAGGATTCTAAAAACAAGAATAAACGAAAATTTGGTTAATATTAATTCTATTCCAGATTCGCGACGATTCAAACACAGCTTCCCTTCTTTTCTGAAATTAGTTTGCACTTCCTAACCCTTCCACTCCCCCCCTCCCCCCCCCCCCCCCCCCCCACCCCCTCGGCCCTGGAGGAGAATTAGAGAAATGTAATCCCTGGGAAATTTGTTAGAAAGAATTGGATTGGTGCAAAAGGTTAGATTTTCGCAAAGAAAGTTCAATTAAATGTTTAATTATGAAATTGTCCTGTATTTGAAAATGATCCAATAGAATTGATTCCCCAAAATATTGCTGTCCAACTGTTGCCTTCCAATATAAAATATAGCTGATCAGTTTAACAAATTCTCTGAATTATCCGTTTTATCAAGTTTTGATATTTTTATCAATTTTAATCCACTGGATATTAACTTTCTAGCTTTCAACGAAAAACAATAATAAACTTTAAGCTGATGAATAAACTCATTTATTTCTCAAGGTTATATCACTTAAAGGTACTGCTTGAATTTGTTTCTGTAAGCCGAAAGGATGTTCCCATGGGGAGGGGGGGGGGTTGAACTGAAGAAGCCTAACAAAACCCTCCGAAAATACTTTATGCAGAAAAAGAGCTTAATAGGATCAAAAAGCATTCAAAGCATAAAGAGTATCAAAGAGCATAAAAAAGAGCATCAAAAGGCATAACAAGAGCATTAAACAGCATAAAAAAGAGAATCCTGGAAGAAGAGAGCATTTTACCTGTTCTGAAAGATCAGCAGCTGGCATAATCTTCTCTGCCAGGGTCACCCTGTAGTTCTCAAGGAAGACGACCTGAAAAAAAATTTAAAAATTGTCTAACCATTGTAAGGAAGCTTTGGTCAGATCCAGTTTTTAAATAAAAGTTGAAAAATGTCTGATCCAAATCGTGTAATAATCTTAAGAAAATTTTAAAGTGAGCTTGCACATCTTTAAAGAGAATAATACATCCAATTATACAAAAAAAAAGTGTCAAATAACATATTATTGTTGTAGTTGTACCTTGAGTTTATCACCAACAACAGGATCGTTGTTTACAACCTCTCCGACCATGTTGAAGAGCTTGATGATCTGCTTGGCCATGTAGTAGCCTGGAGCAGCCTTTCCTCCGATCATCACAGTTCGAGCAACAAACGGAGCAGCAGGGTTACTCTTTATCCTGCAGTATAACAGGGTTACTCTTTATCCTGCAGTTTAGAAGGGTTACTCTTTGTCCTGCAGTATAGCAGGGTTACTCTTTATCCTGCAGTATAGCAGGGTTACTCTTTATCCTGCAGTATAGAAGGGTTACTCTTTATCCTGCAGTATAGCAGGGTTACTCTTTATCCTGTAGTATAGCAGGGTTACTCTTTATCCTGCAGTATAACAGGGTTACTCTTTATCCTGTAGTATAGCAGGGTTACTCTTTATCCCACCCTTGGGTTCCGTGTACTGTACATACACTCCCAACCATGGGTTCCGTGTACTGTACATACACTCCCACCCTTGGGTTCCGTGTACTGTAAATACGCTCCTGGATGTATTATCGTATGTTTGAATGACTCTACATGTAAAGTTCCAATTTTAAAGTTCCTCTTTAAATTTTCGACTGAGCAAATTTGGTTATTTTTAATATTGATGAAATAAGTTATCTGTTTCATCTTTACTCAGATAAAATTTTAAAAATGTTAACTATTAAAAGAAAAGAATTGGTTCCATTATGACTAAAAATAATCATTATGGTGTTCACTATCAATGGGTCAAATCTTCGATAGTTTTTATAAAATTTCCTACATAATTATGTGCTTCTTCTTTGTTGCTTTTGAATACTTTTTCAAAATAATTTTCTTATTTATCCCCCCCCCCCCCCTAATAAAGACAATGATAATAACCAGTTGACCATTTAATTGTAAAAAAAATCAAGTGAAATATAGATTGAAATATAAAATTGAGAATCTAATAAAAAATATCTTGCCCCGGGTAAAGTCTCAATCTTGAGATAATCTACTCCTTTAATCTAAAAATGTATATTCCCCTGAACTCATCACTGGAAGAAGTCAAATATCCCAAGTTTGTGAAACGTTAAACCATTTTATCCCTAGCTAAAGAAACCCCATTAGAAAACTTCATCAATCTTTATTATCCTTTCAGGGGGTGCAAGCTACCATGTTATCTAGTTATCCTTTCAGGAGGTGCAACCTACCATGTTATCTGGTTATCCTTTCAGGAGGTGCAACCTACCATGTTATCTAGTTATCCTTTCAGGAGGTGCAACCTACCATGTTATCTAGTTATCCTTTCAGGAGGTGCAAGCTACCAAGTTATCTAGTTATCATTTCAGGAGGTGCAAGCTACCATGTTATCTAGTTATCCTTTCAGGAGGTGCAAGCTACCATGTTATCTAGTTATCCTTTCAGGAGTTGCAAGTTACCATGTTATCTAGTTATCCTTTCAGGAGGTGCAACCTACCATGTAATCCTTTCAGGAGGTGAAAGCTACCATGTTATCTAGTTATCCTTTCAGGAGGTGCAAGCTACCATGTTATCTAGTTATCCTTTCAGGAGGTGCAAGCTACGATGTTATATTGTTATCCTTGGAAGTGCAAGCTACCCATAGATTCTCACTTAAAAATTTCTATTTCAACTGTTGAGAGTAAGAAGTGTAGAATGTTAATCCAAGATATTGCTAAATACTAAATAAAAACTGTATTGTTTTGTTTTCGCAATTGTAAGATTTAACAAGTCTAATCCTTGTTTAATTAATGCAAGTATTGCATGCATAAAAATACCATCAGTCTAAGGGTTTAATTAATTTATAAGTACATAAATGTATATTTTAGGGTTTATTTAATTTAATTCCAGAACTAATATTGGATTAAGTTCGCGACATGCAATGAATGGTATTGCACAAAATGGAAATTAAAAAAAAAATAAAAAGTCTCCCCCCCCCTGGACCTAGTTAAACTTATCTAACAGGATAACATCCTTGATTTAATTTTATCTGTGCATTGGTTCAATGTGCAGTTACTGACAAATTGAATGCAGTTACACTTTTTCCCAACAATCGGTCACAGGAAACCATTGAATTTAATATATTCCTCCTTTTACAATAATCTCATTTACAGATATTGAATCAACGATGTACCCAATGACCCCGACATTTGTGTACATATAAATCCCACCTAGTGTACATAGAAATCCCACATAGTGTACATATAAATCCCACATAGTGAACATATAAACCCCACCTAGTGAACATATAAATCCCACATAGTGTACATATAAATCCCACATAGTGAACATATAAACCCCACCTAGTGTACATATAAATCCCACATAGTGAACATATAAACCCCACCTAGTGTACATACCCCAGATAGTGTACATATAAACCCCACCTAGTGTAATATAAATCCCACATAGTGTACATATAAATCCCGCATAGTGTACATATAAATCCCACATATTGTACATATAAACCCCACCTAGTTTAATATATATCCAACATGTTGTACATATAAACCCCACCTTTGTAGTTTAAATATAAATCCCACTTGTACATAAGAACCTGACATATTGTACGTATAATTCTCACCTGTTGTACATGGTAATAATATGAAGAATGTTTAGCAACTGACGCTTGTACTCATGGATACGCTTAACCTAGAAAAGGAACATTAAATATTTTTTGTTTGTGCATTTTACAATCCGAAGTTTGTACTGCCACAGAATTTCTTCTGGCTTAGGACTATCAACCCTAGTGCATCAAGGACATCAGCTCCTTGATCCTTGTGCAGACCTGCATCTCTCCGACAAGAAAGGAAACCCTAGCTATCACATTTTTAAATTTTTGTTTTCAGGATTTTTCCGTTTTTTTAAAACTTATTAAAATTCTCAGTTCAATATACCTAAAATGTCATGTAAAACAAAATATTTTTTTCCAAAAAATTAAAAATACTTTTAAAAATTAGTGAAATCCAGGTAATGTTAAATTTTAACTTACTCATAACGACAGAAAAATCAAATCAAATCAAAATTATTAAAAAGTTTACAAAATTAAAAATGAATTTCTGAAAACTTTTAGAGGGCGGATCTCACTGGCCATTTTTAGATTTATGTAAAGGAACATTAAATCTTTAACATTAGAATGCGATTAAAAGAATTATATTGTTTTACATATGTTGATATGTACGATCTTGAAATGTGATTTAAAAACTTAGGATCTGAATTATTTACACGTGTTTGGTAATCTTTGGGATGTTACAAAAATATTTTAAATTAATTGTACGTGGATACTCGGAATTAAAATCTGAGATCCGAGATACGCTGAAAAGCTGGTATTAAAAAAAAGATCCTAAAATTTGGTCGAATAAATCTAGTAAAAGTACCTGTATATCGAAGATACTGTTAGGGTTGATATCAACTCCTGTGAGTTCTCTAAGTAGCTCAGCCAACTTGTTCTTATTATCCTGCTTCACTTTCATCACTTCTCTAGGATATACATATTATAAGTATTTGTCAGAACAAATATTTAAAATTATTTTTTCGAAAAAAGTTAAAATCGATGTATACAAAGTTGGATTTTTTTCAGTGAACCCATTATTAAATTTTATTTTCAAAATTAATTTTTTTATATTTATGCGGGCAACGCTGGGTGCTTTAGCTAATCTTTACCGTAAAGTGTTGTATATTTTATACTTTTTGTCAAAAGCCCTGGTCTTTTGTCCCCCCCCCCCTCCGACCCCCTCCCAACATACTAGCAGGGAAGGGTGACTCATTTGTAGATGGGAGGGGTAGGGTTGCATTATTTCTCCAATATACAATGTTTTTTAGAGAGGTTTCGTGATTTATTATGTTAAAGAGGTTTTGTGATTTATCCTAAGGATATTATGATATCTGTTATGGTATATTGTGATATCTGTTATGGTATTGTAATAACTATTATAGGATTGTGATATCTGTTATAGTACTATGATATCTGCTATGGTACATGTGATATCTGATATGGTTTGTGACATTTGTTATGGTTTGTGACATTTGAAATGGTTTGTGATATTTGTTATGATTTGTGATATTTGTTATGGTGTGTGACAAATGATTTAATATGGTTTGTGACATTTGATATGGTTTGTGACATTTGATTTGGTTTGTGATATTTGTTATGATTTGTGATATTTGTTATGGTGTGTGACAAATGATTTGATATGGTTTGTGATATTTGTTATTGTTTGTGATATTTGTTATGGTTTGTGATATTTGTTATGGTTTGTGATATTTGTTATTATTTGTCATATTTTTTATGGTTTGTGATATTTGTTATGATTTGTGATATTTGTTATGGTTTGTGATATTTGTTATATGGTTCGTGAGATATTTATGGTTTGAGTCGGATTATTGAATAATTCTAAAGATTATTTTTATATTCTTTTCTCTCTCTTATTCTAACTTAACAATAATTCGTTCATTACTTCCAAAATGTCGTCTTTATCCCTATTGACCATTTTATCCATAGTTCTTTCTTTCCAAGTTTTACATTCACTTATTTTATTTTATCTGTACTCCTCTTCTAAGTTTCAATATCTTTCTTTTATCTTCCAGTACAGTGGTTCCCAAAAAACATCTTTTCCTTTGCCCAATCTTCCCAATTACTCTAAATTCCAATATAACAACCCTTCTTATCTTCACTCACTAATTCCTAATAACAAATTTCTCTACAGCTGATTTCCATCCCAATCCCAACTTCCTCATTAGTTGATATCCTTTCCAATTCCCAACCTATTTTACCTACTCCCAATTGGTTCTATCTCATTCATATACCTTATTCTCAAACCAAGCCTAATCCCAATATCTCGAACATTAGTTGTTAGTCGTTTGGGATCCCAATAGATTGGATTTAACGTAAAAGCCACGACACTAGACTTTTTATATCATGCTTCATTTATGACAAATGACAATGGACAAGAAATTATGAATTTCAGAAGTATATGAAGAAAAACAAGCCTGTGTGAAACCAGCCTGTATGCATGTTTATGCACAACAGTAGTATGCCAAGCCTAGCTAGAGGGGTGTTAAGATCCCTTGCAACAACATTTTTTAATGTGTTTTCATGTTTTCGCTTTTGCATCTTTTTATTCCTAAAAGTGTTTATATTGTCAAATATTACTATCTTTGAATTTAGCAATCTGCACAAAGCAGTCTAGACAGTCGATATAGAACCAGAAAAAAAGAAACAATCATGATGTGTGCTGAAAAAGATCAGAAAACTGTTTGACCCGCGTACCCCCGTTGGCAAAGCGGGTGCAGAAGAACAATGTATTCTTTTTGCTAAGATTGTGACCAGACCTGATTAGAATATACTTATATAATTTGTATACCATCGATTTATTAGAGAAAACTGTGATATCTGTAATGATTTGTGATATCTGTTATGGTATTGTGATATCTGTTATGGTACTGTGATATCTGTAATGATTTGTGATATCTATTATGGAACTGTAATATCTGTTATAGTACTGTGATATCTGTTGTATTGTGATATCTGTTATGGTATTGCGATATCTGTAATGGCTTTTGATATCTGTTATATTACTATGATATCTGTTATGTTATTGTGATATTGGTTGTTATGGTATAGTGATATCTGTTATGGTATTTTGATATCTGTAATGGCTTGTGATATCTGTAATGATTTGTGATATCTGTATGGTATTGTGATATCTGTTATGGATTTTTGATATCTGTTATGGTATTGTGATAACTGTTATGGCACTGTGATATCTGTAATGGCTTGTAATATCTGTTATGGTTATGTGATATCTGTTATAGTACTGTGATATTTGTTAAAGTATTGTGATATCTGTTATGGTATTGTGATATCTTTTCTGGTACTGTGATATCTGTAATGTTTTGTGATATCTGTAATGATTTGTGATATCTGTTATGGTTTGTGATATCTGTTATGGTTTGTGATATCTGTTATGGTTTGGGATATCTGTTATGGTTTGTGAGATCTGTTATGGTTTGTGATATCTGTTATGGTTTGTGAGATCTATTATGGTTTGTGATATCTGTTATGGTTTGTGATATCTGTTATGGTTTGTGAGATCTTATTCGCGAAATTAAACAATTTTTGTGAAAAATATTTTTGTGGGGTAAAAATATTCCGTTTCATTCCTCGAAATTTTCGCATTTTTTCACAAAAATTATTTTTGTTACGAAAGTTTCTAGATTTATTCTGTAACAAAATTTAGATGTATTATGTAACAAAAGTTTATAGGTTTATTCTGTAATTGAGGTTTCTAGATTTATGCTGTAACTGAGGTTTCAAGGTGGATTATCTTACTGAGGTTTATAGATTTATTCTGTAACAAAGTTTAGGTTTATTCTGCTACAGAGGTTTACAGGTTTAATCTGTTTAAAGGTTTAAATTTATTCTGTCACTTAGGTTTACAGGCTTAATCTGTTATGGAGGTTTATATTTTTTCTGTTACTGAAGTTTCTAGATTTATTCCGTAACAAAGTGTAGGTTAAATATGTTACAGAGGTTTATAGGATTTGTTAAGGAGGTTTCTAGATTTATCCTATAACAGAGGTTTCTTTGTATATTCTGTTACAGAGGTTTAGATGTATTCTGTTACGGAGGTTTCTAGGTGAATTATGTTGCGGAGTTTCAAGAATCATTCTGTTACGGCGGTTTCGTGGTTCACTGTAATGAACTAAAAGGTTTAAGATGTATCCCTGGAGATATATTTCTCTGGGTTTCTCCCATTCAACACAATTGTATTGATAACATTCTATTTGTGGTGTATTAGGTAAATTTGGTGTATTTACATAATCTATAAATTTGTTAAAATATATATCAGTAAAAGTGGAATAAAGATAAAGCCGATAATTTTTTTTCATTTTATTTATAGCCTCCTGTGTATCAATGATATGATTTATGAGCTATGTACCCTTTGAACTTTGTACTGTTTGCTTTCTGTACTTGGTGTACTCTATTTAATAATAAATAGAGTAAGCTTGTAATAAATATAATAGTAAACCCCATATTCGTAAATCTGAACATACCTATATATATAACGTTCGAACATTATCTGTACCCTAACTGATTTCTGAGAACTATGTACATTATTACGTTTATAGATTTAACACGTACCATAAAACACAAAAAATACATTTGTTGAACATGAGTGGTTGCTTCATTTCGTTTAGACACATATTAATTCTTATGTTGAGAAGCAGAGGGTCAGCTCGAGTTGTATCTCGGCAGATAGATACAGATACAGGAATACATATAGCGTGGTATCTGGATTGATACAGACTGAAGTGTTATTGAGGATCCTTTAGTTAGAGAGTGAGTTGTATCTGAACAATACTCATTAAGGAATACATATAGCGGTGTATCCTGGTTGATACAGATTAAATTATTATTGAGGAACCTTGAGTTCTAGAGCGGGTTGTATCTGTACGATGCAGACGAGTATAGAGGTTGTATCTCAGTTGATAGATACTTGAGAATACAGAAGGTTATACCTGGATTGGTAGTTAATGGAGTTAGGCTTTTGTTACTGACGAGGGTCAACCGAGACCGAAATATATTTTCAATAAAATGTGAAACAAAAACTACTTTATTTACTTCGAGGTTTGGTCCATCATCACCGAGTTTTAAATACATGTGATGGTAGATTGGAGTGTCCTAATGGATAGCAATATTCGTACCTTGTAGAAGGATGCGGTGTTGCCCGGTAAATTCTTGCTTTTACCTATAATTATGTGGCGGGAGGGGGGTGCTGGGTGCAGTGGGCATCAACAAAATCTAAATTTGATTTAAAATATCCTATTTTTCGACCATACTCATTTGGGACTTAATTATAGCCAGTGTGACCAAAAAAACTACCTTTGGAATCCTTCATCATCTGCAAACTCCTTCAGCTTCACGAGCTGGTCGAGATAAATCGGCCATTGATCGCCGATTTTGTCACTGATGACGTCAGCAAGCAAAGGGTTGCACAGAAGCAACCATCTAAAAAACATTTTAAATGATAATTAATAACTATTACTAACGCTTTACCCAAAACCATCAGAAACATTTTTACTATTATCTTTAATTTGTATCCAAGCACTCAGCACAGATGTAAATACTTATATTTACTTAGAATGTATTATTATTGGGGGAAAGCATCATAAGTTATTTACTCCTTATTATCGGCTCCTTTCAAATAATCAAGCAATCTGAAACTTTGTTTTAGACATTGATACTTTTAAATTTGTTTTTCCAATAAAAAATTCATTGATAAACATCGGCAAGTAATATCACATTGCTTTTGATGTTCTAACATTTTGTAAAAAACTGCTGAAGGAATGATCAAGGTGGGCATGTATTATACTGTTGCAGGTGGGGTCAAGGGGGATTGTAATAAACTTCTGCAGGGGTGATCAAGGGGGGAATGGATTATACTGCTGCAGGGGGGTTCAGGGGGAATGGATTAAACGGCTGCAGGGGGTACAAGGGGAGAATGGATTAAAGTGCTGCAGGGGGATTAAGGGGAGAATGGATTAAACTGCTGCAGGGAGGATCAAGTGGAGAATGGATTAAACTACTGCAGGGGGGGATTAAGGAGAGAATTGATTAAACTGCTGCAGGAGGGATCAAGGGGGAATTGATTAAACTGCTGCAGTGGTATCAAGGGGGAATGAATTCAACTGCTGCAGGGGGATCAAGGGGAGAATGGATTAAACTGCTGCAGGAATGATCAAGGGGGGAATGAATTAATCTGCTGCAGGGGGTATCAATGGAAGAATGGATTAAACTGCTGCAGGAATGATCAAGGGGGGAATGGATTAATCTGCTCCAGGGGGTATCAATGGAAGAATGGATTAGACTGCTGCAGGGGGGATCAATGGAAGAATGGATTTAACTGCTGCAGGGAGATCAAGGGGGGAATGGACTAATGCACGAAAGGGGCATCGCAAACAACCAAAGGGTGTGCTAAAAAGTGAAAAAATGTATGAAATATGTGAAGTTGAAAACCCTTATTAATAAAGTAGTTCACCTTCTCGGCGTGATTCCGTTGGTTTTGTTCTGGAACTTGTGGGGCCACAGTTCATAGAAGGGCTAAATAACGAATAGTAAAAATTCATGATAAAAAAAAAACATAAATTGCACATAAATATTGTGATCAAATTAAAAAAGAATTAATTAGATTGTCAACATAAAAATATTTCTTTAGCTTCAATTAGTTTAAAGTTTTCGTTAAACCCCCCCCACCCCATTTCATCTTTGCACAATTATGATAATATCTAACAGACCTTGAAAAGAGTTTTCTTAATCAGATCTGAGTGAATGGCAGCAACACCATTTACAGCGTGACTTCCTAAACAAATTTAGATCTGATTAGAATTTAATTTATTTCCAAATTATCCTGAATCTAAAATAATTTTTTAAAATGGAATTTTCTAAATGTTCTAGTTTAAATCAATATTTGAAACAATGTATGCTTTGTCAGTAAGAAAAAGATAAAGAAATAATATAAAAAAATAAATCATTAAACAATTTGTTGAGAGAAAGATCCTGAAAAAAATCCCTGTACTTAGTAATCATACAATATACGTGTATTTAGTAAAAAAACATGTATTTTGTAAAAAAAACATGTATTTTTCAATCAAACATTTATTTTTAAATCATAAATGTATTTTGTAATTATTCATGTAGTTTGCAATCATACATTCATGTACTTTTAAATATTCTAAACCATAACACTATTCAAGCTAAATTTCTATTTTTAATGAAAAAATTCTAAAATTTATTCAGAATTTAATTTTATTAATCTATTTGACAAAATTACTGCAAAAGCTTTCATGAAGTAATAAATTTCCGAAAATCAGTGTGATGTAGCGTTTTTTCTTCAATTTATCCTTAACACTCATTCTTATCAATTATTAATTACAATAAAAATATAAAAATTACAAAATTAATTTTTACTCTTCGGAATTGAAAAGTTGAATGCATTATTATTATGTTACGTCTAATGTAATTTGTTAAAAATCAGCACTACATTTATAATGCACAGTGCACACCTATTCACACTTAATAATTAATTCATTTTATTTGTATCCCGTGGTGGACATACTCTGCAGGAATAACTTCAATGCAGAAGTCAAACAATTAACTCCGAATCAATTGCCCAAAATGCATAGGATAACAAAATTAAGCGTTCAAGATTCAACTAACTTTAAAAACAAGTTCCGAACTCTAATTATCCACAATCCACTCAAAGTGATTAAATACTAAAGTGGGCCAAACTCATAGTTGGATGACGACATTTTATGTCCCAAGTATTCAAAAATAATATATATATATATAAGTTGTTCTTTACGGAGTGCACAGTATACAACATAAACTGGACTCCCTTTGTTTACAAACACAGACTTTGAATTGGTATTTAATTTAAATATAAATTAACGTGAATTAAGAGCAACATTTATCCTAATATAAAATCTCACCAATGATTGCCAAATGCGCCATATTAACCCTCTTTCCTCCTTCCTCCTCCACACAAGACAGCTGCTTCATCTAGAACAGAACTTGATAAACCTTAGGAAGGTTTTAACCCTATTATGCAGGGGCAAACAACCCCCTTTACTTCACATATTTAAATCAGGAATATCAGAAAGAGATCTAAGAGCCCCCCCCCCCCCCATTGGACAACCAAGAGCGCCATCAGGTGAGCCTCTCAAACACCATGCATAACAAGAAATTGAGAAATCCATTTTTGATAAGTACTTAGCTCTATTTTTAATTTGTCGAAAATCCAGATAAAAATATTTTTTGAAAATCTAGATGGTGAGGTAAATTCTTTAGAAGTGATGCAAAGGTTTCACATAACTACCAGGAAAATAGACAAAATTGAGAAAAGAGAGTGAACAGGATTTAAGTTTTTGAAAGTTTAAAATACAGTGATAACCTGAAAATTCTGAAATATGAAGACTACACTCAGACTCAAGTTATAACTTAAAATAGTTCCAATAAGCATGGGACACAGCAAGTGTGTAGTGTAAACAGACCTTTTTTACTTAATAAGTGTCTATTATAACTATTTGCTTTTTAACAACATGAAGTAATCCTCCTTTTTAGAGTTTTCTGGTTCTCACTGCAAATTGTATTTATAAAAACACTATTCACTGTATTCAGACCTTTTCCCAGTCATCTCCGTACTTCCTTTTAACTTCCTCCATATGAAGATAGTTTATCAGATAGATAATCTCAAGATGCCTAGATAAAAAAATGTATGAATATAAAAATTAAATTGTATATATTACGGCTGGGTGCCGATAACGGCGAACGAATATTTTATACATTTACACGGAATTTCCTGTGAACGACCAGATCGTTAAAAAAATTAACGAACACACCTAAATCTTTAACAAATTGAAATGAACATAAATTAACGAACGTGGAACGAACTGTTTACTACGTATTTCCACCTTATCCAGCTGCTCTGGTCACCAATTAAAAAAATCTTAAAAATCTATTTTTAATAATAATTTGTATATACCTGGGAAGAATGGATTCAAGCATAGATACAGGCCACCTCTCTAGGGCTTCAGGCAGTATAGTATGGTTTGTGTACGCGCAGCATCGAACACAAATATCCCAGGCCTGAACAACAAAATTTAAGTTTCGAAAAAAGGTTTCCTTTTGCAATAAAATGTAATCAACAGTAAAATATTGCTAAATCTGAATATAATAATTGAAGAATATATAAAAGGTCATGTTATGATTACTTATTTATTGTAAGTTTAGGACATTTATATTATTTACGGAGATTCCAGCGAACCCTTAAAAGTATTTTTAAAGAATGGATTGGAATACATTTTCAGATATATCTAGTTAATGACTAGCATTTTAGAAATGACAACTTAATAAAGATTCAAGCAGGAATATACGGAAATATATATTCTCAAATAAATCTAAAACGTAAATGCAAAACGTCATTGATTTCCTAGTATAAGAGTCACGTAAAAGAAAATTAAAAATATTATGGGGTCTTAGGGTGGTAGAAAAAAAATGAATAATAATCTTTTTTCACTATTCTTCCTTTTTTTCTTCCAAGGACTGATTCTTCCACTCCTCAAATGGTTTTAGATTTTTGTTGAAACTCACCTCGGCCCACTCGAGGTTCTCCTCGTCCACAAGGATCCTCATTAGCTCCGGGATAGCGAGGGCGGGATGGGTGTCATTTAACTGGATGGCCACTTTGTCTGGCATATGGCTGAAGTCAGTTCGGGCCAATTCCCTAAACATCAGAAAAGAGGATAAAAAGGGTTCAGATAACTAGTTTATTTAATTTATAAGATGATTAAAATAAATTAATCTAGACATTTGAAAATCAATTGTTAAAATTGTTTCAGTTATTACAGTAATAAATAAAATGATAAGCAAAGATTAAAAACATAAAATAAATATAACGCGCGAAGCATGCTTGTTAAAACTAAAGCCGTTTTCAATTTTGCCATTTTTTTATTGTTAGTTGGAAACAATAAAAAAATGGTAAAATTGAAAACGGCTTTCACTTCAGAAATTGATAAAATATTTAATATCTATGAGATCACCATTGTTCAATGATAAATCAAAATACATGAACTATCCCTTTAAATAAAATGAATAAATTGCCAAGTTTAAAGGGAAAGCTGGGATAATTAGCTACCTAGTGCATAAATACTTTAATAAAGAGACTGTCTACGTAATTACAAGTGAGATCTCATTTTAAAAAGAGTCGTGTCCGATTATTTTAAGGTACCCTTTAAGGTACCCTTTAAACTTCGCCTGAGCACTAGGACAAAAAAGGTAATTGTTAGAATTTAAAATTTTCCAAATAAAATATCACTTCTTCATTGCTCCTCAGATAAAGTTATAAAGAGCACTTTTGTAACTCTCACATAACATTACATAAATAACTGTTTATTTAAAAAGAAGATCTACAATCCCTTTAAATGCCTGAATAATTCCGACTATATTGAATATACAAAGTATTTAAGTATAAACATAAACTTACTTAGTTCCAAACTTGGAATGCTTGAAGCGCCTGACAACATCATGAAGGGTGGCAGCACAGAGGAAGTACTCCTGCTTTAACCTCAACTCCTTCCCCTCAAACATGTTGTCGTTGGGGTAGAGAACTCTGGATATATTCTCAGCTATATTTCTATCCAGGACAGCCTAGGTTCGTAAAATTATAATAAATCTTACATAATCGTAACTCCTCTTTTAATAAGCCTTAATGAAGAATAAAAAGTTCTGCAAAGAAATAAATTAGCTTATTTCATACTTAGGCGTAAATCAAGCCCCTTGAGGGGGCTGTGTGGTAACAAAGTAGTAAAAGCAAGTTTGATGAATTTCCGTGTTTCTGGTTTAAAACTGATTGAATGAGTTAATTATTAAACACTAGAAATTCAAGGCGCTTCGCGCCCTTCTTTCTAGCCTTAGAGGGCGCTTCGCGCCCATCTTCTAAATTAATTGTAAACATGTTCTCTTTGTGTACATCGTAAAACTAAACAAAAATAATTTGCGGATTTTTACAAAAAATTTCGCGGATTTTCAAAATTTTAAAAAATTTAATGACGATCGAATTTTGATAGAGACAAATATTTGAAATTTTGATGATTCATAAACCTTCCCTGGGCTCCCTAGATGTCCCACAAAAAATTTGGGCCCGATCGGTTCAGCCGTTTTGACGTTTATTGGATACAAACAAACAAACAGACAAACAAACAAACAGACAAGCCAAATTTATATATAGATTTAACAAGATCATTTATCTCAACAAACATGAATCATACATAAATATTTTTCATTTTGCATATACATTGCTCGATATATCTTTTATTCTGATATATCTTTTATTCTGATATATCTTTTGAGAATTTAGTTTCAGTTTCTATGCATGAAAAAATTAAATCCTAATTCCATGAAATTTTGGTTTAAAGGGACTGTTTGCGTAAATTCAAGTGACCGTCTGTTAGTAGAGTGGCGGGCCCGATTCACAAAAAGATGACGATTATTTTAGGAGACTTCATCTCTACCTGAATATAATCTCCAGTATTGAATACTTTCAGGTTGAAGTGAAGAGGAGACTTAGCAGACCATAACCTAATATATTTTATTTTTATATTTTTAAATGTTATATATATAATATATATATACATTATACATTACGAGTAAAGATAAAACACCTTGATGACGCACATTAAGGAAAACATTGAGGACGCACATTGAGGAAACAAATTGAGGACGCACAATGAGGAAGCAAATTGATGACGCACATTGATGACGCACATTAAGGAAGCAAATTAGGAAGAAAATTGAGGAAACGCATTGATAAATGTGCGCCCTCAATGTGCGTCATCAATGTGCGTCAAAAATGTGCCTTCTCAATGTGAGGACGCACATTGAGGAAACGAATTGAGGAAACACATTGAGGACACTCATTGAGAACGCACATTGAAGACGCACATTGAGGACGCAATTTGAGGACACACATTGATGACGTGTAAAGTGAGGACGCACAGGAGAAAGCACAAAGGCACAATAGTGTGACAGACTACAGACATACACAGCAACTATATATACAATAGGATACCTGAGGGTGTTGCAAACATTGTTCATATACCCAGGGATAGGGTTGTCGTAGGGCATTGCTAGCACAACCTTTAACAAGAAAGTAATTTTAACTTGAAAAGGGAGAACTCTACTTTATTTGTCCAATTTTAGAGGAACTGTAAGCAAAATTCAAGTGACCCTCCATGTAAAGAATCACAACGGTACCCTTAAAACCTTTATCTGATCATATCTGAACATAATTCTTTCCTAGAATTCCAAATTATCTCTAAATTTTTTCTAAAATTTTAGAAATTGAAGTAGATATATAATATAATACAGGTTTCAAAAATTTCTGAAAACCATATTCAATATTTTAATTTAATAATAATGCAAGTGAATCTGATATGGAACCATATCGACACACACATTTTTTATCTCACATATTCCAACTTAAATGAGCACCAATAGGTAATTTAAAATGTACTTAGTGTGCTCTTAAAATAGTTATATCATATCTTAAAATACCGGGTTTTCAAAATCGAAAAACTATAATAGCTGCAAAAAATCAATCTTTTGTCATATTTCTAGTTTTTTTACCTTCTTAATTACTTTAATTTGGCTCAAACTCCCCCCCCCCTCCCCCGTCCCCTGTTTTCTTTATATTTGAGTTTATTCTAAATTCTGTCAAAATTAAGTACATTTACACGTTGATTGGTTTACAAGTTTTCCAATAAAAGTTTGACAAATTACAAATAAAACTCTGCGAGTTATTTCTTTCAAGAAGAAAAAGTTTTAGCAATATGTAATCAACGCTGTGATTGATTATCAATAAAAATATCAATAAAAAAATATGAAATATAATATTATTGCATTAATTATGAACTATTAAACTTTATAAAAAAAACTTAATCTATAAAATGAAAGATAATTCTCAATATCTGCCCACTGCGCAACTTTGCAAAAATTAATATAAATTTAAATTATCTTCAATAAAAGAAGAATTTTAAAGAAAGTGTCAGCAAATTTGAAAATTTTCAGCGGAAAACAAGTTCAAACCGATGACATCTCTAAATGGCATTTATATTTATACTTGCCGAATTTCAAATATTTTCGGACAGTTTCTCAAAATCATATTTATGACATTCTCTTATATTTCATTTAAAAAAGGTTAATTCAAACCCGTTGAAATTAGGTGTTTATTTAAATATTAAAAATTTGTACTGTTTAAAACTGTTTTCTTAGTAAAAATATTCTGTATTGATCGTCTTATCATTAAAAGCTTTCTAGCAAAAACTAACATTTTCCAAAATATTAAAAAAAAACTCGCGTTCAATAGAAGAGCGTGGGCAGGGGGGGGAGGAATATCAGTTTGATGGGATTTTTAAATAAATCCGAAATACCATTAAACACAAATTGAATCTATTTTCTTTTCCGAAATACATAAAGTAGAAAAACATAAACTTGACAATATAAATTTTTATTTTATCAGAGATTATCAAGTATAATTTCTTGTTAGAAATAAAAAAAATTCGAAGTGTTTTGAAATTTTTGGACACATATTAAATTGTCTGTTCTAGAAGATAACTGTTAAAATATTTCAAAGAAGACACAAAAGACAAAAAAGCAACCAAGGGAGAAACGACCAGCGGTAAAGCGATATTAAGTACATTCTAAAATGCACTTCCCACGGGCCAACTTCCCAAGTGGTAACTTCTCAAATGTGCAATTTCCCAAGCAAAAACTTCCAAAGTCTGTTCTAGCCAGAGCCCTCGACCCATTAGCCTGGTCTAGCCGCAGCGCTCGACCCCCCTTATACCTTCCGTAGCGCACAGTCCTCATTGGAGCCTGCGGTGCCTTATGAAGGCCTAACCTAACCATAAACGTATATTTTGGAAGTTACCGCTTCAGAAATTGCACATTTGGGAAATTGCCACTTGGGAAAAGGCCTACCACTATAAGTGTAACACTGTAACACTGTAACAATGTAACACTGTAACAATGTAACACTGTAACACTGTAACACTTGTAAAACGAAAAAGATGCGACACTCCAGGAACTGTACATAAATAAAATAGGCCTTATTAGTTTTGTGGCCACAGCGCTCGGCCTCCTAGCCTGTCCTAGCTGCGGTACTCCGCCCAGATTTTACCGAGGATAGAATTTGAGTGCTGGGCGTCAGCCTGTTTACTAAATAGCTTATCCGTATAATGTAACTCTAGCTCTAGAGCTGTCCTAATACGTCATTGTATTTGTATTATGTAAACAAACTATAATATCCCACTAGTGCACTCCTAAATTATATTACTTCATTAGGCTGATATCTTAGTCACACTACCATATATACAACAATGAGTATCTAAGAAAATATCCTAAAACGTTTTCATATGTTTTACCATGGTTGCGCGACTAAGAACCCGGTCAATGGTTTTTGGTTGCGCGACAATGAGCCCGGTCTATGTGAACTATACCTGTGTGTTGACCCACTTCCTCTTCCCATTCTCTTCCTCTACATGACCGTAGTAGTTCACCGGAACGGTGTACTCAGGCCTCCCTAAAAAATGCAAAAAGTTCAAAATTTTATTAAAGCCCCGTCCACCCACCCACCCCAGAAAAAAAGTCCCATAAATCATTCTTTGTGATAACCAAGGTTAGAATTAACTTGACGGCGTTAATACATTTTAAAGATTCAACTGTCTTTTTAAAGTTAAAAATCTTTTTCCAAGATAATTTTTTCCCATAGTCATAAAAATAATTGGCAAATTTTATATTTTACAGAACGTGAATTTTTTTACTTTCATCGCCAAGCTTTGAAATACGTGACAATTTAGAGATTACAAAATGTTTAAAGGAGATTTCCAATTTAACAAGAATTTATTTACCTTTCTCCCAAGGGTTGCCGTACCTCAGCCAATCATCAGGCTCCTCCACCTATAAATGGGTATCATACAGTACATTGAATTGCGTACATAACAATAATATTAAATGTTTTAGTAGAAAATTAATCATTCAAAAGTATAACACACTAATTTTTCAAAAAGGAAACAACATACCTGTTCAAAGCTTTCAATCTTTTGCGAGAAAATACCATACTCGTATCTGATACCATAGCCATACGCTGGCATGGCTAGGGTAGCCATAGAATCAAGGAAACAAGCGGCTAATCGACCCAAGCCTAATTCCATGATGTTAATTAATACATGTATTTACGTAAAATGGCAAGTTTTTTGTGCTAATTTCAAATTATGCCTAATTAAAGTGTAAGGTTGATTAAAGTGAATGGTTGATTAAAGTGTATAGGTTGATTAAAGTGTATAGGTTTATAAAAGTATAAATGTTGATTGTATAGTTTGCTTAAATGTAAAGGTTGATTAAAATAAATGGGTTGCTTAAATGTAGAGGTTGAATAAAATAAAAAGGTTGATTAAAGTGAATAAGTTGAATAAAGTGAATAAGTTGATTAAAGTGAATAAGTTGATTAAAGTGAAAACGTTGATTAAAGTGAATAGGTTGATTAATGTGAATAGGTTGATCAAAGTGAATAGGTTTATTAAAGTTTAAAGGCTGATAAGTGTCTAGGTCGATGAAAGTGTCGAGGAAGATGTAGGCGGCGAGGTTGATTAAAGTCTCATTCAAAGTTGATTGTAGTGTGATTGTAGTGTAAAGGTTGATTAGAGTATCGAGGTTGAATTAAAGTGTAGAGGTTGATAAAAGTGTATAGGCTGATTAAAGTATCGAGGTTGATTAAAGTGAAGAGATTGATTAAAGTATCAAGGTTGATTTAAGTGAAGAGGTTGATTAAAGTATCAAGGTTGAATTAAAGTGTATAGGCTGATTAAAGTATCGAGGTTGATTAAAGTATCGAGGTTGATTAAAGTATCGAGGTTGATTAAAGTGAAGAGGTTGATTAAAGTGTCAAGGTCGATGAAAGTGATGAGGTTGATTAAATTATCGAGGTTGATTAAAGAATCGAGGTTGATTAAAGTGAAGAGGTTGATTAAAGTATCAAGGTTGATTTAAGTGAAGAGGTTGATTAAAGTGTAGAGGTTGATGATTAAAGTGTAGAGGTTGATTAAAGTGTCTAGGTCGATGAAAGTGATGAGGTTGATTAAAGTATCGAGGTTGATTAAAGTATCGAGGTTGATTAAAGTATCGAGGTTGATTAAAGTGAAGAGGTTGATTAAAGTGTAGAGGTTGATTAAAGTGTCTAGGTCGATGAAAGTGATGAGGTTGATTAAAGTATCGAGGTTGATTAAAGTATCGAGGTTAACCTCCATTTCCAAGACCAGCATCTGCTTCACTCTCCTCCAGGTCCTCTATGTCCAGGCCAAGCTGAGACAAAACACAAGGGTTAGTACACACACACAACAAACTTTAGTTTTAGGACTCGATAGTTTCAGTTCTACAACAGGATTCATTCTCTCTCCCCTGGAGTAAAGATTATCTACAGAACTTGACTTCTGTGTCAAGATTAGTCTAGAAGTTAGTCAGGGTTAGAATTGAGTCAAACAGGGTCACACAGATTCAACCCAGGTCACGCTGGGCGAACCAGGGCCAAACAGGAATCAACTCAGCCACCAGCCAGCTACCTGCTCCCCCTTCTCGATGTTTTGCTTGAAAATTCCAAACTCATAACGTATTCCGTATCCATAGCTAGCCAACCCTAACCAACCCAATTCATTCAACCTCTACTTAGAAATGGTTTTTTAGAACTTGAAGATAACCTCTGCTACCCATGCTTATATTTATTCCGCATAAATAAAATCCTATAAAATAAAATATTGATATTGACATTATAAAACTATAGTTGAATGCTCTGGGTTGCCTAGGGTTGCCATGCTATCCAGAAAACAGGCGGCAAGTCGACCAAGACCTCCGTTCCCGAGGCCAGCATCCTCCTCGATGGACTCCAATTCTTCAAAGTCCAGTCCAAGCTGCAAGCAAATATTTTTCTTCCAGGTACAAAATATCTCGAGATTAGAAAATATCCAAATTTCATAAATCTTTTGCTGGAAACGTTCTCCGTCAATTTAACAAAATATTAAATTAAATATTTGTAAAAATTTTACAAGGTTAATTTTTAATTTAAAGTTTAACACGTATGTCTCGCAAAAACAATGCTGTCAGTCTAATGCATGTTTAGAATTAACCCCTCAATCTGTCGGAATTCTTCAAAAAGGAAACTCCCCCCCATGGTCTGATTCGTCTGATTTGAAACGGAAGGAACTGTGTAAACATGTTTACACCGTGGATCCTGAATAAAATGTATTATTCATGAATAAACCAGAAACATTTTTAATTTCACTTTTTAACAAAATGGACGAAATTTAATCAACCTGAGATCGGAATAAAAGAGTTTCCGAGGATTTCTTTCAATAAATTTTAATAAGAACCAAAAATAACATAACTATGATCTGGTTAATACTACGAATCTTATGATATATATATACGTTTTGGTATAATTTTGACACTGTTATGTCAATTACTCGTGACAGGAACATCAGATAGAACTCTTATATGTCTCAATCAACTCCTGAAATTCTCAGGTTTCAGTCTATACCCCCTTTCTTTTTTCCCTTACAGTCCCTTTAAGATTAAAAGATTAACCAAAAAAAGTCTCAAAGGCGCACCAGTAATTTAGCGTTAATTTGACCTGTTCATTCACGTATAGATGAATGATATGGTGTATGTTCGACGCGGTTCATATGCCTGCATCTATCTATATACTTTGCAATGTTTACAAAGAGAAAATGTTCACAATTGAAATAAAAGATGTGCGCGACGCGCCCGCCTAGTGTTTTGTATTTTTATGTACCTGGTAAAGAGCTTCATCACAAGCTCCCTGAATGCCGAGGTTGATCATGGTGTTGGTGAGGGACCTACCCATGTAGAACTCCAGGGACAAGTAGTAAACCCTCTAAATGTATTAAATCATGTAATACTGGACGGATATTCATTGATGTGATAAGGATCCAGTTCATATTCAGATCCATTTTCGGATCCATGTCTGGATCCACATTCATATAATGTCATATGTCATATATATCAGGGCGGAACCAGTTAAAAAGTCTGTGATATTCGCCATATCGCTAAATATTCGCTAAATATTCACCATATCGCTAAATATTCGCCATATCGCTAATTATTCGCCAGATCTCGCCAATTATCTAAAGGAAACTCGGTTTCCTGGACAATTTAACTTTAGAGACAAAATTTTAAAATATAAAAACAGAAAATTGTATTTGAACACTAATAAAATTTTTATTGCCAATTTTTAAATAAACAGAGATGGAATTTAAAGAATTTGAGTCGCGGTTTAAATCCGCCAAACCCCGGTTTAAATTCAGAGCCGGCTTAAATCTTGAAACATTTAATACAATTTTAAGTGGAACCAAAACCGTCGCTCAAATTCTTTAAATTCGGCCACAGATCATTAACAATTCAATTTTATACCTTGGGATCAGTTTCATAGTAGTATTGCTGGGTCTTGATCCATCTTGAGACTAGATGATCCTTAACAGTGTCTGCCAGCGCCAGGTAGTAATCCCTAAATATGGATCATCTGCTATAATGGATCAAGAAATATCAATTAGGATTGTAATTCAAACTAAATTGAAAATAAACTCAAGATAACACTCCAACGCCATTTATCTCGTTTTAGTATGAACTCTTGTATATTTCTATCTGCAAATGTATATTTCTATCTGCAAATGTATATTTTTATCTGCAAACGTATATTTCTATCTGCAAATGTATATTTTTATCTGCAAATGTATATTTCTATCTGCAAATGTATATTTTTATCTGCAAATGTAAATTTCTATGAGAAAATGTATATTTCTATCGGCAAATGTATATTTATATTCGCAAATGTGTATTTATATCCGCGTTGGTATATTTATATCCGAAAATCTATATTAATATCCGCAAACGTTTCCTCTTCTGTTTTTCATTTGACTTAAATCAGGCACTTTTTCAGGTTTGGCCTAGGATGGTCAAGATATATACCTACCCCCTGAAATGCTAAGGGGGGGGGGGGAGAACTGTCCTCCCCTGAATAAGCTTCATAACTTTTGAACATACCTAAATAATTTAATTGATTTATCTAAACTAAGAAACAAATTCACAAACGTCATTGTCAGGCACTAAATATAAATATATTATTTTGTGAATATATCGGGAATAGAGAGAGAATTGTCGAGACAAGAGACCCAGTAATTGCAAAGGAAGAACCTCTGATAGATAATTTTATTAATAACATTGGTACAGTGCAGTCCTAGAGTATACTCGAACTAGTAAGCATGTATAACACAGAGAGATTCTAGATATCTGAGTATGACAGTTTTCACTTCTGATCGTATTGCTAACAATGTATGAAAGATAGTTTTAATATACGATCTAAATTTTAAGAAGAAAAAAATTTTGATTTAACTATTTTAAAGGTGTTGTAACTGATCATAATTTGAAAAAAAAAATTATGAAACGATCAATTTCAACCAATCATTTATGATCGCTGATTTAAATTTTTTTATATGGGCTTGAAAAAAAGCGGCATTTCTCAGATAACATTCATGAGCCTCAAAAAAAGGTCCACAAAAATCTACCTGATTTACTGAAGTATTTAACTGTAGTTTTGTTGTTTTTAAGTTTACCTGTAGTTTTGTTGTTTTTGTTTAACTAGTTTTGTTGTTTTTAAGTTTAACTAGTTTTGTTGTTTTTAAGTTTAACTAGTTTTGCTGTTTTAAAGTTTAACTAGTTTTGTTGTTTTTTAAGTTTAACTAGTTTTGCTGTTTTAAAGTTTAACTAGTTTTGTTGTTTTTAAGTTTAACTATTTTTCTTGTTTTTAAGTTTAGCTAGTTTTGTTGTTTTTAAGTTTAACTAGTTTTGCTGTTTTTAAGTTTAACTAGTTTTGCTGTTTTAAAGTTTAACTAGTTTTGTTGTTTTTAAGTTTAACTAGTTTTGTTGTTTTTAAGTTTGGCTAGTTTTGTTGTTTTTAAGTTTAACTAGTTTTGCTGTTTTTAAGTTTAACTAGTTTTGCTGTTTTTAAGTTTAACTAGTTTTGTTGTTTTTAAGTTTAACTATAGTTTTGCTGTTTTCAAGTTTAACTATAGTTTTGCTGTTTTTAAGTTTAACTAGTTTTATTGTTTTTAAGTTTAACTATAGTTTTGTTGTTTTTAAGTTTAACTAGTTTTGATGTTTTTAAGTTATATTTTAGTTTTGTTGTTTTTAAGTTTAATTGTAGTTTTGTTGTTTTTAAGTTTGACTTTAGTTTTATTGTTATATTTTTTTTTAAGGTAAAAAACTAGATTTTTCTTGGTTTTAAAACAAAACGTATAGGTATTGCAAATTTTTATATTAAGCACGCTTAAAAAATTTTTTAAAATGATTTTTTACTTTTTAAATTTTTTTTAATTAGTCTGAAAAATCGCAATATAGAGACATAAACGATCAGAAATGATATGGGACACCCTCTCATCCATTCATAACTTCATGCAAAATACTTATTTCTTATTTGTTTACTTAGCTAATTTATGGTTTTAATATTTGGTTAAGTAAAATTTAATATTTTCGCTAATTAAACTTCTTTAAGATGAAGTTTTTAAGAGTTTGATTATACATTTTCTTATTTTTTGCAATGGAGGATATTCTGAGAAAGAAGGAGGTGTCAAGAATTTTAACTTATTAAATTCTCCTGATTCCTAAAAAAAAGAAAAATTCACAATGAACAAAGAATTACATGGAAAGATGAAAACAGATGACAAGATTACAAGCAGCGGACAAGATGACAAGCAGCTGACAAGATGACAATCAGCTGACAAGATGACAAGCAGCGGACAAGATGACAAGCAGCTGACAAGATGACAAGCAGCGGACAAGATGACAAGCAGCGGACAAGATGACAAGCAGCGGACAAAATGACAAGCAGCGGACAAAATGACAAGCAGCTGACAAAATGACGCAGCTGACTCGATGAAAACAGCTGAAAAATTAACAACCAGCTGACAAGATTACAAGCAGCGGACAAGATGACAAGCAGCGGACAAGATGAAAAGCAGTGGACAAGATGACAAGCAGCGGACAAGATGAAAAGCAGCGGACAAGATGACAAGCAGCTGACAAGATGACAAGCAGCTGACAAGATTACAAGCAGTGGACAAGATGACAAGCAGCGGACAAGATGAAAAGCAGCGGACAAGATGACAAGCAGCGGACAAGATGACAAGCAGCTGACAAAATGACAAACAGCTGACGAAATGAAAACAGTTGAAAAATTAACAACCAGCTGACAAAATTACATGCAGCTGACAAGATGACAACCAGCTGACAAAATTACAAGCAGCTAACAAGATGACAAACAGCTGACAAGATGAAAAACAGCTGACAAATTAACGACAAGATGACAAGATGATAACCAGCTGACAAGATGACAACCAGCTGACAAGATGACAACCAGTTGACAAGATGACAACCAGTTGAAAAGATGACAACCAGCTGACAAGATGACAACCAGCAGACAAAATGACAACCAGCTGACAAGATGACAAGTGACATCGAATGGCAAGATTAATGAGATGCTTTAACGAGTTATCTTCTCTAATGATTTGTATTTAATCCAACCGATTTCTGGATCCATCCGAGATAAAAACCAGCATATTTTCTGCGATTTCATAAAAATTAAATTTATAAAATAACATTGATTAGCAGAAGTTAATCAGATTAGTTTCTTATATATTCCTTTCCATGAGTTTAAAGAAATCGAATAATATTGATAATAATGGATGGATCCTATAACTTGTGAAAATATTTGGGACAGATCAGTGATCATCTGAACTCCTCGGAACTAATTTTGCTTTTTGCGAAACATTTTTTTTGTTAAGTGAAGTCCAAACCTATCTACAGACTAGATTGGAGATCAACCACCCCCCTCCCCTCCTTATTTAACCTATAAAAATCAACCCAATCCCTCCATTTTTTTATCACCCTTCCTCTGAAGCAATTCCCTCGCTCCCCCCCCCCCATCTCGCTGGTTGTTTGTTGGTGTGGATAATGGGTTTATTAACTAAGAAGATTGATCAAATATCTGACAGGTTCCTCCCAACCCTCTTAATAGAAAGATTAAATCCTATCTAATCATCATCCAAAGGATTTATCAATTGAAAATATTTTTTTTCCCCATTTTGTATATTTCAGCTTTAATCACCTAAAAGGGCATAGTTAATGCTTGTGTGTAAAATAAATGTACTCGTATAACATAAATTTTTTTTTTTTAATTATATAATGCCCTTTTATGATGATAGATAAAAATGTAAACAATTATGAGTAAAGGAGGAGCAAAGGTAAAAATTAACTTAACACTTTCTTTCATATTTTCTTTTACACCTTTATCATCCCATTCATGTTGAAATCTTGCAACAGTACATTTTCACTTTTAAATTGATTTTCAGCAGGAGTATTTCTAATCATTTAAAATTAAAAGCTTACTATGAGTCATTTTTTTTTATTTTGGACAACTGGAAAAGTACCAAAATTGCAATTATGAATATGAATATGAATATTTTTGACTATATGTTGACTCCCGAATTTCTTTTTTTGTGGACTGTTTTTCTTGCGGACAAAAATAATTAGATCTTGCATTCCTTTTCAAAAATCTCCGTTTAAAAAATTTCTCAAGAAAAATATTTATGAATGTCTGTTCAGAATAAATATTTTTAAAATGTCTGTTTAGAATAAATATTTTTAAAATGTCGGTTTAGAATAAATATTAAAAATGTCCGTCTAGAATAAATATCTAAAAATGTCTGTGTAGAATAAATATTAAAAAAGTCTGTATAGAATAAATATTTAAAAAATGTCTGTGCAGAATAAATATTTTAAAAATGTCTGTCTAGAATAAATATTAAAAAATGTCTATGCAGAATGAACTTTTAAAAATGGCTGTCTAGAATAAATATTAAAAAATGTCTGTATAGAATAAATATTTAAAAAATGTCTGTGCAGAATAAACATTTTAAATATTAAATAGATTAAATAGATTAAATATTAAAAAATGTCTGCATAGAATAAATGTTAAAAAATGACTGTCTAGAATATTTTTAAAATGTCTGTCTAGAATAAATATTTAAAAAATGTCTGTTTAGAATGATATATCTGGTGTATTCGTGAACTGGCAGAAACCATTGCATAAATGGCTGAGGTAGGTTCAACCATAAGATTAGATTTACTTTCTTTACTGGACAACTCTCAATTGTATAATTTAAATACATTTCAGAATAGTTTTTTCTGGTTTGTTTTTTAACACAATAATTTTTTTATTTAAGCTAAATTCAAACATTTAGCTGAGTAAACTTCAAAATTTTATTTTATAAAAGTAATGTTTGGGTTCGTTTTTCTCTAATATCTTCTTGATTGTTTAGAAAATCTAATGAAGACGTTGTGTAGAAGTTCTGCATGCAGTGCATGCACTACAGTATACACTGAAGAGATTAAACGTTAATTGTACAATGTACATGTCAAGAGATATTTAGTACATGGGAACCCAGGCGCTGTCTAGGATACTAAAGCTTAACCGCACTTGAACGTTTTACCGGGAAACTAAATTTTCGTTATTAAAGTCGACCCACTCAACTTAGAAACAAGCTAAGAACATTCCCGTGGGTCTCCCGAGTTCCCAAATCAAAACTAGAGGCAAATCGGTCCAGGGGTTCCTGAGTTATGATCGGACTAACAGACAAACAGAGAACACAACTTTATATATATATAGATACAGGGATACGCTCAAAGCATGAGACTTCAAAAACGACTTAATGGATTTTGTTTAGTCCCTTCCTAAAATTCAGGGTTCCTTGCACCCCAAAACTAGCGTATGTCCGTGGTTAATAATAAGTAAACCATTAAAATGCTAATTTGAAAGTAGAAACCAAATATAAAGCTTCAAATCGTCTTCAAATAGTCGTACTGTTAGTTTTGGGTCGTCTTTACACAATCTATATTTTGTGGGTAATCCTGTAAATGGCAAGTTTAGGATTATTTATCGTTCAGAAAACCAGGTTTTTTAATAATGCAGATTTTAAATGTAAATATCATTATTTTCCGCCGCGGCTTTTCTTCTCAATTCAGCCGAGAATATATTCGCAAACATTATACAATTTCTGCATTTGCACGAAAACAAGTTTTTAACCGAGAAAACAATCAAACTGGAGTTGGACAAATGCTTTCTTATTAATGTCCTAGTAGAGAACTAAACCATGTAATCCTATAATAATCTTTTTTTTATTATTTTTCCTAATCTCAACATCACTCACTAGCCTTCTCCCCATTTTCGAAACATAATATAAGAATTACGGATTTTAAATTAGATCTAACAATTGATAAATAAATACATTATATTCAATTAATTTCTTGATTTATCACAATTTTATGAAAATCTATCGAGTTATAAATTCCATATAATCAAATTTATGTGGACATTTATTTTGACAGATCAGAAGCACAGAAAACAAATCCAGCCAAAAGCGCCGAAATCCGACATTTTTTAGACTTTAAAAACTATCAATTAGGCATTTTTTTGATGGGCTGAACAGTTATAACTTGTAGACTTGTTGCTACTATACTTTATTATCTAGGCCTATGCAAAGTTGGCAGTATCCTGTACAAGACTGGCTTATGCCTCTAGGAATCTTTTAAAATTAACATCTTTTGAAACGAACACCTTTTAAAACTAACATCTTTTTTAAATAACACCTTATGAAACTAACACCTTTAGAAACTAACACCTTATGAAACTTATGTCTTTTGAAATTATCACCTTTTGAAATTAACACCTTCTGAAATTACACCTTTAGATTTAGAAACATAACACCTTTTGAAACTTACGCCTTTTGAAATTAACACCTTTTGAAACTTACGCCTTTAGAAACTAACACCTTATGAAACTTATGTCTTTTGAAATTAACACCTTTTGAAACTAACACCTTATGAAATTAACACCTTTTGAAATTAACACCTTCTGAAATTACACCTTTTGAAATTACACCTTTTGAAATTAACACCTTTTAAAATTAACACAGCTTCTGAAATTAACACAACTTCTGAAATTAACACCTTTTAAACAAATAATTAAACAAATAATTTAAAATTACATAGAAAGAATGTAAATTTTCTTATTAAAAAAAACTTGATATTTTCTAAAGACGAATGGCATGGGAACAGGATGCACCGAGAAGAAACCAAGACCCCAAAAAACGTTTTTCAAGAAAAACATAAAAACCCAAAGTTAAAAGACGACATTGCAATTTTGAAAACAAGAAGATATGAATTAAACCAATTTAATGAAGAAACCTCTGTTAAGTTCGAGCATGACTGTAAACATAGGAAAGGATAACATGTAATATCTTTTTAGCTCCACTTTTAGAAAATAATAAAATATTTTACTAAAAAAGGACGACTGCAGAAGACGACATTCGAGATCTTTCATTAATGATCATTTCACTGAGAAAAAAAGCTTTTTTAGACCTACAGAGCGTCCTATATCTTATCGGATTATCTCCACGCTCTAGAAATGACGTGGGCCACCCTGTATAATGACCTTAATTCAAAATATTCCATAACAACCATCACTATTCCATCTCAATCAACCATTATTTTTCAAGGTCGAATTCATTATAAAACGGGCATAGTTGGGTATACACTATAATAAATAATAATTTTACATTTTAAAAAAGCGTAACTTGATAATTTAGTAATAAATAATGCTACCCAACCCGTGTTATTTGATTAACTAAGAATTTTTCTTTTACCTTTTCATCATTAAACAGGGGTCAAAGAGAATAATAAACATGTGTAAATATTCTTTCTAATTTTAAAATGTAGAACTAAAAAAGGATGAAAATAATTATAAATGGGTTGATAAGAATTAATAGATCACATTTGCAAGAATAAAAATAGATAAAAACGCTATGCATAATCGTTTATATTGTTGACATTATGTACAGTGTCTGAGTGTACACATCATCATTCATCAATATAGTTAATGTTCAAATATATAGTATATATTCAATGTAAAGAAAATGCGAATATTTAGTGACCATTTATCTAAGATTTACGCACCCGATTCAAAACAGTACCAAATTTTCAGTATCCAGTGGCCGAATTTAAAGAATTTGAGCGGCGGTTTAAATTTAAGCCACTTAAAATTGTATCAAATGTTTCAAGATTTAAGCCGGCGCTAAATTTAAACCGGGTTTTGGCGGATTTAAACCGCGGCTCAAATTCTTTAAATTCCATCTCAGTAGTCTTTAACCATTGTCTTCGCAAATAATATTAAATCATACAGCACAGTTCTCTAAAAGAAATTTGAAAATTTAGATAGAGACATCAAGAAAAAAATTAACAGAATTAACTTTATCTTTCTCATTTTTTCTCGAATTAAATTTATCATGGTGCCGTTGTGATTTGGTCATGTAGTTTTTGGAATGAAGGTCTTGTAAAATTACATATACAGTGCCTTTAATAATAAATTCTAAAAAAAGGTTTTAAAATATTGTACCTGGGTGTAGCAACTTGCCTATCCTTGATTTAAAATATTGTACCTGGGTGTAGCAACGTGCCTATCCTTGATTTAAAATATTGTACCTGGGTGTAGCAACGTGCCTATCCTTGATTTGAGTATAGTGAAGATGACGAGTAAAGCTCTTCTTTACATTAGCAACATTCTCAACCTGAAATACATAGATAACTTTGATATTCTCAACCTGATATACATAGATAAATTTTGATATTCTCAACCTGATATACATAGATAAATTTGATATTCTCAACCTGATATACATAGATAAATTTGATATTCTCAACCTGATATACATAGATAAATTTTGATATTCTTAACCTGATATACATAGATAAATTTTGATATTCTCAACCTGACATACAATGATATTTTTTTATAAAAACTTCACCGTCTTCTTAACCTCCAGCCTGCCCTCTTTTCCACCTTTAAACCTTCCGCTCCACTTTTGATTTGACCTCAGTTTGAACCTCTGACTAAATCAGATTGACCTTCAGATTGACCCAACATCTTAACAATGCTCCTAACCTTCACTTGCTCCTTGACTTACAGGTAGATACAATTAATAAGACATATGTGCACCTACAACTTATTCTACATCTTGTGACCTTCAAGTTGATCTTGACCAACAATTTAACCTACATCTTGACTTTCACCTTAAGATTTTGACCTGCAACCTCACCCTACGTTATGACTTTCAACTTGATCTTGTCCTACAACTCGCCCTACATCTTGATTTTCAACTTGATCTTGTCCTGCAACTTGGACTACATCTTGACTTTCAACTTGATCTTGACCTACAACTCACCCTACATCTCGACGTTCACCTTGATTTTGACCTGCGCTCACCGTATGTCTTGACTTTCAAATTAATTTTGACCTACAAATCTCAAAACATCTTGATTTTCAATTTTATCTTGGATTTCATCTTTATCTTGATCTTAACTTCACCTTCATTTGTACAATTGTTCAAAAGCTGGCCCTGAAATCAAAATTGACCTAATATGACCTGTAGCTGCCTTACTAAGTTTACCTGCGCGATATGTCGGACGGAAATCTGCTTTCTCCGATCATGATCGGTTACCGGAGCAGACATGGTCTCTGCAACAACAAAAATTATAATCAATAATTAAACAAGCACTTATGTGGTGAAACTAAACCGGCATATTTCCTTGCCTATACAGTATGCTGAAAGCGTGCATACAAAAATTTCTCTAAATAAGAATTGAATCAAATTATATTTTCTGTTCTGATCTTTTGCAATAAAGCGACCATGTGCTGTGAATAGGATAACTGTTTGAACTGTAAAGAACAGAATTAGGTGTTCTGTACTCCATAACTTGCGTACACTTGTATTATGCACACGAGATATGTACTACAGCAAGGTTATAATGCAAGGAAAGTTTTTTCAGAGGTGTACGCATCTTTTGTACTGCAGTGTACTGTCTGTGGGCGGTAATGTAAACATAAGACGCATGTTGAAACCTGACATGGGATCCATCTTTTACATAAAAAATCAATGAAATATTTTGGTCATAGTAATAGGAACCTATTATGAGAATTATAAAAATTATCAAAATTTAATTCTTTTAACATCCTTGGATACTAAACGAACACTGATGCATCTATTATTGTTTACAAATTCCGCCCAGAGAGAACTGGTTTCAATTTGTACACAGAGTATACGCGACTGCAATTAACTTTCCTTGCATTATAACCTTGTACGAAATAAACGAAGATTAAAGAAACAAACAAGGTTTCGCCTTTCGGACATCATGTTTAAAAAAAAGCAATTGTACAATGCACACAAGCCATTGGAGTATTGGGCAAATCATTTAAATTGTTAAATATGCAGTAAAACTTATTCAAACTTCATTAAAGTATAGTCTAAATAATTGCAATGTTTTCAATCAAACCCCAGTTTTGTAATATCGAATTGTCTTAAAAAATACATGTTTGTGTCTTTTATACTTTAAAGCTCTGAATTTTTACATGCATACTAAGCACATATTTTAAAAGAAAACCAGATTTTTTAAATGTTGCCATTTCATCTCAAAATTAACGGCGATAATCAGAAAGTAGATTTTTCCTAGTTTTTTTCATTCATTCAGTATCTGGAAAAAAAACTTTAAAATATACACATGGATGACATGGATCACATGGATGACTCAAGAGTCGCATACATTTTCTTTACGATAGATTTTATATTCTTTATTAGATATTAACACTTAAAGAAGACGAATTCAAATATGGTAAAACGATTCTCGTGTTATACAGGGTTACTCACAAAGGATGAGACTTCAGAGACGACTGTAGTGAGTTTGTACAATATGTTTCTTTGTATTCAAACTCTCTGCAACTTTTCTTTCATTGTCAACTCAGTAAATAGGCCATTAAAATACCATATTTAGAGCAGATGATTTAATTTAAACTTGGGATCGTCAAGAGTTTTTGTCGTCTTTGTAGTCTCATCCTTTGTGGTTAACCCTGCATATTGGGACACCTGTAACTCTAAGTTGAAGATGGCATGCAAACAGAAAAAAGTCAAAACTTTGTTTCCTCTTAACAAAATAACATAGACATAAAGTTAGGCATACATTTATTGTTATAAATGATTTTTAAGACTTAAACAGTCACAACAAACAGCTGCAGCGTGAAAAAAAGATCTTAAAGTATTCACTCAATTCCCTGCCTACTGGGATAAAAGTACATACTATGTGCATATTTATAAAACAATTCCCTGTCTATTGGGATAAAAGTACATGCTATGTGCATAGTTATAAAATAATTCCTTGCCTATTGGGATAAAAGTACATACTATGTGCATATTTATAAAACAATCCCTTGCCCATTGGGATAAAAGTACATGCTATGTGCATAGTTATAAAACAATTCCCTGCCTATTGGGATAAAAGTACATGCTATGTGCATAGTTATAAAACAATTCCCTGCCTATTGGGATAAAAGTATATGCTATGTGCATAGTTATAAAACAATTCCCTGCCCATTGGGATAAAAGTACATGCTATGTGCATAGTTATGAAATAATTCCCTGCCTATTGGGATAAAAGTGCATGCTGTATGCAAAGTTATAAAACAATTCCCTGCCAGTTAGCTAACGAAGACGACCTCTAATCAAAAAGTGTCATAAAAGAAATTGTTCTTAGAATTTTTTTTTTTTTTACACAAAAATTGACTATCGTCGTAATGATTTCAAGCAAATTGTTTTATTTTTGGATATCCACTCCCTCCTAGTGCATATATAATTTTAGTGAGATGAAGAACTAGAAATGTATCTAGTCTAATCTATATATGTGTGGTCTAGTCTAGAGTTCTCAGATCTGACTGAAGTCAAGATTTCAAAATTATAAAATTCATTGCACACACTTTCTGCTCAAGAGTTTAATGCTTTAAAAGTCTGGCGGCCCGGGAATTCCTGATTTTATTTTTCAACTTTTTTTTGGGAGGATTTTCAGATTCGATCTAACACACATTCTGGGTCTAAGTAAACTGGAATTCTGATTCCAAAACAAAAAGAATTATTTTTTTTAATTGTAGTATAAAGACAGCTATTAGATTTAACCCTTAACTTGAAAATTTGCTTTAGGAGCAAAAAATATAATGAGCTTTCTCTAGAAAAAGACAGAAATAGTAGGTACAGAAAGTTTGGCCGGCGAAATTGGAAAAGGGCTAAAAATAAAAAATTGTAGCGTTGTTGTTTTGGCACATATGTGAAAATATTATTGTTGTTCAAAATATGCGTAAACATTATACTTAAAATATTTTTGCAGTAAAAATATGTGGGAAAATACAATTGTGATGAAAATGTTTGGAAAAGAAGAAAGTACAAAAAAATTAATAATATAAATCAAGAAGAAAGACCTGAACTTTAATTAAAAAAGGTATTATATAGATATAAAAAACGAAAGCAGTCTTTAATTTCAACGTTACACGTCTATTCACACAATTAATCTAATCAGCATTCTCTTCAATTTAACATATTTTATCATTATCTTTTTTCTGAGAAAAAAACAGGAGTAACTTTATTATTTTTGCCCAGACACGGTTTTAAAGGGTCACTTTGTGAATCGGTCATTCCACTCTATATGTCATAGGGTCTCTTTAAAAAATGTCTACAGTCTCTTTAAGTCAGGCAATAAATACAGCACCATTTACAATTAAATTAACTTAAGGAATTGTTGTGTTCACTGCTCAAGCCACTATGCCTGACAATGTTACAATGCAGCTGAATTTGGGATATCTGGGATACCAGGGCCCATACATACTTGTCCGACAGGTTTCCTCCTAGTCCTACTAGTCAGACAACTTCAAATATTTAGCTAGGAAACAGATCCTGATTTCTGGTCTGATTAAGAAAACCTGAATATATCTCTTCATCCTAGAAACTCTACTCTCTACACATTTCAACCTTTAACTACAGGTGGAAGAAAAAGGGGCTGAGATGTATAAAGGTCTCGTAGAGGTTAACATATGCGCCAAAAATGCATACTCCGAATTAAATTGACGGTCACCTTGCTTGTGTTGCTAGGCGTGGAGGGGAAAAGTTTAAAGAAAGGGAGTATAAACAGCTGTTAAATATGAATTAAAGGGATTATAGACTTTAATACATGTAACACTGTGGTTCATGTAATTTAACATGCAATGTAGAATAATAAAAGAATAAAAGAGCTTAAAGGATAATACTTCAAACTGCAGAGTTCAGTCCTAAATTCTTAATTGGCAGAGCACAAAATAACTGGCGTATTTAAGACGTACTTTGAACTCGCTACAGTTGAACAAAACATTTTTCCTTTTCTTCATCATTTAGCATTTATAATGCTGTCTGTCTCTTCATTAAACCAAGTTCAACCTTTAGATATAAAGATTTGAAAAGTTTTACTTGTAGGTCTCATTTTTAGTGGGAAACTCTGTATAAATCAAATCGAGTCAACTGCACACAAAAACAGCTTAATATATTATTAGAGTGCAGTCTTTTTTTACGATGTAAACTGTAAATTGTAAACTATATGTTCAGTTCAGAATGAAAAATGTTATCCTGAGAGTCCTGGTTGTCGTTTTAAGAACGTTTAAAATGAGACGAAATAAAATGTAAATTAAAGTTTCACTTTTGCTGATTATATTCACATATCGGATCACAAATATTAAAATATTGTTTAGTTGGCAGTATTCAAGTTCATATTAAGGTGTCACTTCCCCGAGTTCAGCTGTACATATAATGTTAGAAACGCATGTCTGTTGCGAAGTCATTGGTGTGACCTCTAAAATACTTACAGAAAAGCTTATAACACGGGCCGGGTCACCCGGCCTCCGTGCCCGGTCAGATTTTCCCCCTGGTCAGGCCTGGGCACAGCCTCCAAGCCGGGACAGGCATTTCCCCGAATCAGGCCATGAAAGAATTGACAGGACGAATTTACGTAATGTCACGTTTCGTCCGTCTTTAAAGCTGTAAATTCCAATAATTAATAAACATTACAATTGATACATGTTTTCTGAAATTAATTCAACGTCATGTAAAAAGTACTTAAAAACTTGATGGTTTTAAAAATTAATAAGTTTCATGTTTGATATAATGGATCATGGATGCAAAGTACATGTATTAACAATGTGATCCCCAAAACCTGTTTGAGCAAGATATGTTCTCAGTGACATACAAAATACACTCAACTTAGACTTAATCCTATCAGAATGATAAAAACATAGTATGTAGAAGACGACATTCGTATTTAACGACACACGGTTTGCTAAATCACTTGTATTTTTATTTGTTTTTAATTAAGCTATTCAATAGCAGTAGAAGTATAATAATCGGCATTGCCCGTAGTATTTAAAAATATGTCCAGAAAGCGACCACCTAGCTGTTCATCCCATATACTTTGGCGCCCTTTATAGGTCGAATGAAACGCTTAAATTTACATATTTCTATCTGTACCGGTTCAGCCCACAATAGATAATAATATAAATGTATTTTTGACAAAGTTTAGAGCTCACATGTCTCACATAGATAAACAAAGTTTAGAGCTCACATGTCTCACATAGATAAACAAAGTTTAGAGCTCACATGTCTCACATAGATAAACAAAGTTTAGAGCTCACATGTCTCACATAGATAAACAAAGTTTAGAGCTCACATGTCTCACATAGATAAACAAAGTTTAAAATTCACATGTTTAATGCGTTCGAATGTCGTATTTGATATAAATTAATTAAAATAATATTTCTGATATACATGAAAATTTTAAAAATACATTTATTTCAATACCAAATACATTATACTTACAATTTATTTTTAAGTACTATTTGCTGATTTTCATTCGATAATGCTATTACTACACTATGTAAAATGCTATTTTATTCTTCTTCAAATTTCACAGCCAGACATTTTATACAGTAAGACATTTACAAGGAAGACACTTATTTACTTTAAAGAAGATTATAAATTTAATTTGATTCGTTTACGTTCTTTTCTGTAAACACTTGGTATTTAAAAATAAAATATTCCGATTTAAAAATCCTATCAAATAAACTGCGGCATTCAGAAATTTATCAAAATCAAAGAATGAGAGCGGGATCCACAACACAATAGCTCTTTTGGTTGTTTGGTTTATCATTAGGAACAGAAAAATGGCGAGTTGTTCACATAGATAAAGATAGATTGCGCATAAGACGACATTTTTCATCTTGAAAGATATAAATGTACAGAGATGTTTTAAAGATATTCCTATTATATAGATTAACTAGGTCGGTTGTGAACATTGGCTGTTCTTATGTCATTGAGTACTTGTGGTGTACATGAGTTCTGTAGAGAGAAATTTAAGTTAGTTTAGTCCTTCTCAGTTCTCGTCAATATGATATATTGCTCAGTGAAATATTGCTGTTCAAATAGTTCCATTCCCGGAGACCAAACCACCCCGCTTATCATTGAAGTACACTTTGACCCCTAGAAGTATGAGTTCGCGGACTGTACAATTCTTGGTGATTTTGCGTACATAAGCTATATATGTTTATTTATCTATGGTTGTTCATTTGAATTTCGTTAATATTTCGTTTAGAGATAAGAAGTTAAATTTCTAGTTGAATCTACATTTTATGTTTTCTTTGAGTTCTACTTCATGGATTCTGATTTCTTTATAATATCCTGCTTTGAAGGCATATTTACAAGCTGCAGTTCTCCTAGTATCTGCCCGTACGCTTTTCCCTGCAATAGCATTCATTTCAAAATAGTTTTTAGGATATCTATAATTTGCTTAGAAACCTAAAATATTATCTAGTATACATCAAATGCCTTCAAACGTATGCATAATGGCGGATGTTTACCTGGGGATCAGGGCGGAGAGAGGCGATTCCTCCACCTCCAAGAGACGACTCAAGAACAAAATTAAGGGCATGAATCCCCGGGCATTCATATCTCTTGACCAAACCAGGTCCCTGACAATAAGAAAACAATGAAAAAAAAAAAAATAATTTGTCTTTTGATACTACTATATTTTTATTTTAATACTTAATTATATCATAAAAAAGAGATAAGTCAAATTGTAGATGAGAAAACTGCGAAGTTTAGAAAATAGAAAAAAAATGAAAAAGTTTAATGATTTTATTTCAGTTACCACGTCTATCTCCAACACGCGTTTAACATGCTAATGTTTGATGTCTACAATGTGTTAAGACGCAAATTGTTTATCTCAAACACGTGTTAAACATGCTGACGGTTTATCTCAAACACGTGTTTAACATGCTGATGGGTAATCACGAAAACGGATTAAAATGTTAATGGTTTACCTCGAATACATGTTTATAACATGGAAATTGCTTACCTTGAACACATAATTAACATGCTAATGGTTTACCTCAAACACGTGTTTAAAGTGGTTTGCAACTCTCTCCCTGGACAGAAAGTATCTGATGTATGGAAGAAAGGCAGGATGTCGAGCTATAACTCCAATATTACTAGAGTTCCCTTTATCTCCACTTCTTGTATATGCTAACTCTTCCAACCTATTATAATAATAATAATAATAATGACGGTAATGACGGTGGTGGTGATGGTGGTGGTGACGGTGGTGGTGACGGTACGGTGACGGTGACGGTGACGGTGACGGTGACGGTGACGGTGACGGTGACGGTGACGGTGACGGTGACGGTGACGGTGATGGTGATGGTGATGGTGATGGTGATTGTAATTGTAATTGGAAATGTAATTGTAATTGTAATTGTAATTGTAATTGTAATTGTAATTGTAATTGTAATAGTAATAGTAATAGTAATTGTAATTGTAATAGTAATTGTAATAGTAATTGTAGAGTGTAGATGTGGGATCCAATATCAAGGTTTAGTTTAATGATAAATGAATGAACCTGTAGGAATGGGATCCAGGGATCCAATATCAAGGTTAAGTTTAATGATAAATAAATGAACCTGTAGATGTGGGATCCAATATCAAGGTTTAGTTTAATGATAAATGAATGAACCTGTAGAAATGGGATCCAGGGATCCAATATCAAGGTTTAGTTTAATGGTAAATAAATGAACCTGTAGATGTGGGATCCAATATCCAAGTTTGGCTCCGAAACTTGTATTTTCTCCGGAACCGTATTCTTCACTTCTATTTCTGGGGCAGAGTATTCAACAATCTAAACATTACAAAAATCCTTTTTATTTTATATATTTATGCCACACTTTGACTAAGGGAAAATAAGTACAATTTTAAGGAACATTAATATTAATGAAATATAAAATTCAGTTTTTTGGTTTGAGGTCTAATTTGTCATTTTCCCAATATCTCTCCAATTGACATGTTCATTGTTCATTGTTAAATATTCAAGGTTCAGCCTTCCCTGCCTTCAAGTATCCAGACTAAAGAGAATTCCCCCCTCCAGCCCACTTCTATTTGGTGAAGAATTCATACCGTAGGCTTTTATAAAACATGCAGCAAATCATCATTGCGTCAACTAGAGTTGTATTCGGAGGGGGGGGG